AAACAAACTGAAAATAATATTAATGACAGATTGTATAAATGTAATAATAGCGGGTTTTTTTACTTCTTTTCGAATTTTATCTCTCTAAAACAGTGATAATAAAATTAATCAAAATATTTGTACCATCCTTTCATTCTTTTTTTACTTACTTTTCCTTTCAACATTTCTTATATCTTTGAGAAAAAAAGGGATTGCAAAGATGTAAAAAGACCTAAATTTGTTTGGAATCGGTGGTTCAGTGCAGATAACTGCAATCGATAATCTAGCAATGGGTTCGAAAGCACCGCTCTTCATTAGGTGACAGTATAGCCTAAAGGAGAAAAAGAAAGGAGAATAGAATGTCTCGATGGATTGAAAGCCCATGCTGAGATTCTACTATTGGCAGGAATAAACCTGTCCAAAAACACATTGGGCATTGCTGATGGGTCACTCGTACTTCTATCGCCAGAGGACTCCTCGGCATATTTGTCTAATCCGACAAGTCAGCAGAAAAAAATCTAACCTGTGATTAAAATATTTTTCAGCTGATCGATCCGATGCCATCTCTAACACTACCATTCTTTTTTCTTCCATCGCCTAAGTCCATATATCGTTGGTCCACCTATATTTTTCAAAATCTTTCCTAATTATATCAATCTATGTCTAAATGGTCCAATGGTCCAATGGTCCTCATCGCTTTTGATGTCATTCATTATAAGGTTTAGCAAGTAACAATATATTTGTCAATTCTTGTGGTGGGCGAAGAAAAATATGTACAAACCAGCGACATTACCAGCCGGATTTTTAAATGACAGGTTTATTTTCGAAAGGAGGAGAAACCAAATCTTTGCATCTCAGTACGAAAATCCGCCACTATCTACTCGGCTATCCTAACTCTTATTCGCTCTTGAATAGGTTTTAAGTTTGATTAACAAAATTTGAGTTGCAATATGAAGAAGATTGAAAAGTTTGAAACTGCAAACTCGAATGTGTGGTGACTTATGGAAGCAGTGGTACTTTCTTGGATCGGATTGCAGTGATTTGCTCTAATAGCGGATATTATGTAGAGAAATATTCGAGATATTTTGTGTTTCCCTTCTTCTCTTCACTCGAATAAACTTCTTCTTCTAACAGTTCTCAGCATTACTGGTTGAGTTGGCTCCAACGGCTCCAAAGGAAGGGTGAAACGCTTCCAAGCGGAGCGGTCAGGTGCTATCGTCGACAGTAATAAAAACTTATTATTAACAATGAAATCCGAACTATTTAACATAAATTATTCAAATAAATTTTAGTAGATTTTTTTTACAATATTCAGAAATAAAGCGAAGCTATGATTTTCTTCGTTCAACAATTTACAATCTGAATAATTCACTTGTCTGAATTAGAACTAAGCGGTCAATGATAGATTATACCATTAAAGGACCATTACAACTACATGCTTGAATTGCACCAAAAATCAATACAACTGCCTTGAGCTCCACCAAAAATCAATACAAACTGCCTTAAGCTCCACCAAAAACCAACACAAACTGCCTTGAGTTCCACCAAAAATCAATAGAACTGCCTTGAGGTGCACCAAATTAAAAACCAATACAATTACCTCGAGGTACTCCTAAACTAAAAACCAGTAACGACACTTCACTAATTTGCTAAACAAATTATCAATAAAGCCAAACGCTACTGTAAGAAACTTTATCAGAAGAAGCTTTTGCTGAATTTAAATGAGAATTTCATAGGCAAGGAAGTTCAATAATAGAGATAAGTAAAAAGCCAATAAGTAATTTTGAAATGACAAAAATATTTGCTAAGAAATTGAAAAGCAAAAAGCGAAAGTTGACGAACGAAGTCGACGCTACGAAATTACTTACTTACTTACTAATTAGAATTTGAATTTTTTTAAGCATATTAAATTAGGCATATTTATCAGAAAATTCACGATAAGACTGATATGAATGAGTTGAGTTTTCTAATGAGATGATGACGTCATAAAATCATGCATATAATCATGCATTTTGCCAGAAATAACTATTTTTATTTAACGAATTAAGAATTATTCACTACTTCGATTACAATTAAATGAATGAGGCAATTTGAAGAGTTCTTCGGGTTTTTGGCTGGCCAGAGAGTGTCACTTGTGAACGCGAATAGATGAATCCTCTCGTCGGAATTATCGACGTCGAATCCAGGATAGTTGGCTTCAGTCGCTCAACTAAATCCCACTCAGACTATTCGATTTGAGAATCCTAGCATCAACCAGATTTTTTGCATAAGTTTATTCCTGCCGAGAGTAGAATTTCACCATTTGCATTTCGAATTAAGCAATAATCCGCTGAGCCATTTTGTTCGATTTTGCTCCGTTAGGTGAAACTCGACGAAGCCTGGTGCACCGGCCAGATTCGAACTCATTGTTCATAGTTATCGAAATCAGTAGGTGTAATGCAAAAAAAGGGAAATCAAAAAAAATAAAAAACAAATGCGAGAAAAATTCAAAATTTTCACAGCGTCATTAGTCCGTAATTTTTTAATGGCCCCTCTGGCAATTTATTGAAACCTATGGATCTCTTAGGAAGAAGATGCACAGCCATTCGTAATTTCTCACTGATATTAAGTAAGTCAAACAGTTAGCGCTCTTCATCTCTGATTTGACTAATACGGTTAGAAAGTTTTGCCCTGGTTTGGTGTATCACTGGTACCACTCGGATTTTTAATGACAAATTATTACGCCTGTCGGAGACAAAAGCCAAAAGCGTTCCTACTCAACACGATAATCAAAACTCCACGCAATTATTCTGCCCACATTAGACGTTTTCCAAAAGTAACGAATTTCTTGCCTTAGGCTGAAGTTTAGTTGTAGAAAAAGCGGAAGAAATTGGAATTTGTTGCCGTTCAACTGGAAATTTTTTTTTTATTTTGTTTTTATTAATAAATTTTTTTTTATATTTCCATTAATTAATATTTTTTAAAATAATTCATTTTCTTAAAAATGCATTTATATTAATAAAATAAAAATACAAATATAAAAAATAATAAAAATAATAAATAATATTAAAATAATAAAAAAATAATAATAAAAATGTCGTTAATACTTTATAATGTTTTGGTTAAATTCGCGCTCGACAGTACGACAAAAAATTTCTGCGATGCAGTCGCTTAGCGATTGAAAAACAATCGGATCGCTTGCACCATTAATGATTGAATCGCCGATGCAGAGGACCGATCGATTATCGCCTTTTATCGCCTTTCCCGCAACTCGGTCCACTCGCCTATCGTAGCCTTCGAAGGAATATGAGTTAAAATTTTTAATAATTAAATAAATTAATTTTAGCTTATTTTTTTTTCGTCAAGTTTTTTATTCATTTTTTTCTTCTTTAAAAGCACTTATCATTTCTATTTTAATTGCTTTCAATGGCTATTATAGTTAGCCAAAGATTGATTTGGCGGTGAATGGTGCTGGTGAATGCTTAGCATCCATCTCAGCACCAACCGATTTTCATCTTCACTGGTTAACGAATAGAAATTGAAATCTGTGGTTGTCTAATTGAGAGAACCAATGATAATGTTCGGCCATTCCTTTTTTTATTTTTATTAAAATTTTAAAATTATAAAAATTCAATTAGTTATTTATTTTTAAATAATTCTTTCGTTTCATTTATTTGTTTCTATTATTCAATAATTATTTTTTGTCGAAAAAAACAAATTATTTTAAAATATTTTTTCAATCGGTTCTTTTACTATATTCGAGAATTTAGTCAATTTAGAGAATTTAATTATTGTAAATTTTGTTATTTTTTTTGCTTTAATTTTTTAAATATTTTATTTTTGTTGCTAATTGTTATTTTAACATATTTATTATTTTTAATTAAATAATGTTTGTTTATTTTTTATATTTTATTAATTTGAAAAATCTTCTATCTTTTCTTCTTTTTTTTATTATAGAATTATTAATAAATATTTTTTTTTAAGCATTTTATTATATATAATGCCAATCGAAAGGAGATTACCACGTTTGAAGAATATTGCGGAGGAGGAAAACGAAGATGAAGATGATGACGAAAATTCGGTGTTTTTTTTTTTCTATTTTACCACACAAAACTCGGAAATAAATATAAAAAATATTAAATGTTTAATTTATTTTTAAATATCATTTTTAAATATCATTTTTATTTGCAATTTATTATAATTATTTTATTTTTTAATTTTATTACTTTCTGGCCCATAAAAAAATTATAGAAATTTTAATTAATTAATAAATTTTTTGTGAAAAAAAATTTAAGGTATATTTTATGAATAAAATTTTTTTGAAAAGTGATTAAAAAAAAAATGAACGAAAAAGCTTATTTCAGAATTTGAGAGCGACAAAATTGCGAGAATTTGAAACGAATAAAGACGACGATGAGTTACGATCATTCAGGTACGAAGGATTTCCTTTTTTTTGGTTCAGATTTTTCTAGAAATGTCGCGGAACGGCGAAAGGAAAAAGGCTACTTTGGCTACTTTGTGGTCGATCAGCTTCCACTCTTTGGGTTTTTTTTATATTTTTTATTGGACCATGCATTCATCGACTTCTTTTTGTATTTTCCATGCTCCATTGACCCTTTTCGCTTGCTTCATGAGTACAGTCGTCTATATTTGAATCTATATATATCCTTTTATCCTTTTATCTATATATATCCTTTATATATATCCTTTATCCTTATATCCTTATATCCTTTTATATCCTTCTATATCCTTTATATATCCTTTTTGTTGATTTGCTATTTTGGCATGCCACTAAATTGCAACGCACCATTCTGCTGAACTCATGAAAATTGCTTTTTCAACTTCCTCTTCATTGATCCTTGAACGGGAATTAATCGGTTAAAAAGATGAGCTAACTGCTTGTTCGAATCCATTTTCTATTTTTTTACGACGTCATAGCAGCCCTTTTGTTTTCGCCGTTTCGCGACAAGAATCTGTAAGTAGATTTTAGATTTTACAAAACGATAAAAGATATTTATTTTGGTGAATTTAAAAATATATTTATGTTAATATGCTTCAGAGAAAACTGGAAATTCGAATTAGATAAGAACAGAAAGGATGGAGTAAAAATTGTGCTGCAAACAAGCAATAGAATTCTTACAGAAGAAGAAAAATATGAAAAGGTTAAACGACAAATTTTTCACTTATTTTCAAATTATTTTATGATAATTTAACAAAATTATTTGTTTCATTTAGTATTTATAATTAATTTACTAATATTGAAATATAATTGTTGTAGGAAATAAATGTTTTTAACATTTTAGGCTTCAACACTTTTTTTGGAAGGAGTTGAACTGGAACAGCGTGGAGAAATGTGTGAAGCGGTACATCGATATACGAATGCTATACGTCTGGTTCCTGATATTGAATTTAAAGTATTTAGAAATGCTACGAAAAAAACTTCACCGGTGCTTGCTTTTATTTCTTTATCCCTCTGGATTAGCTCTAATTTTTTGTTTTTTGTGTTAATTATGAGAAATTTCATTTCAAAAATAAGCCAATGAAATTTTGAGTTCATTTTCACCATTAGTCGTTTGGAATTTTTTTTTGCTGTTTATTGCCAAGATTAAATTTTGAAGAAACTTGGCCAATTTGATTCTCAGAAAAAAAATTTTAAAGTTCCTTTTTTCAGAAAAAAGAGATAGTCGATCATCAAATAGATTCAAACTTAAATCTTCGAGATTTCGTTATTGATTTCAACATGAAAGATGCACTTTATCAGAGAGTTATGCAAAGAGAAATGCTGATAATGGCTGCAGCAGAATGTATTTTATTAATGCAGTTTTACGATTTCTTTTCCCAAAACTTTAAAATTTTTTGCAACCTCAAATTTATTAAATAGAAATTAAAACATTGTTAATTTAATTTAATTTAATTTAAATAAAATTCAAGTTCAAATTCAAATTAAATTTTAAATTGGAATAAAATAATTTTAGACTGAGTTATTAGTTTAAAACTTAGTTCATATTATTTACTTCCATTGTTTCATTGGAATACCATTTTTTTAATAAATTTAAACATTTATACTTAATAAATATTTTTTTAATATCTAATATATCGTTATTATGTTGTTGATTTCATTTGATATAATTTTTCAGCAAATGATTGTCATATAAGTAAACTGCCTATTGAATTATTAATGAAGATTGTGAAACATTCTGTTGGAATTGGGCTCGACGTGCGAACTCTGGAAATGCTGTCGATGACTTCTGCTATTTTTTATTTATTGGCTCGGTATTGTTTTATTTTGCAAAAAAATTTCTTATTTGTGTCGGTTCAGTTTCCTTTTCTCGCCGTTTTTTATTTTATATAAAAATATATTTCAAAAAGATTTTTTTAAATATTTTTTTCTTGAAAAAAAGTCATTTTTTTCTCGAAATATTTCGGTGATATTTAATAGAGATAATATATTATGGCATGGCATATGTTTACGCATTTTCGACGCAAAACGTGTTGAATTAATTGAAGGAAATTTTGCAAACTGGCGACATATGTTTATCTCTTGTCCGCATCTTTATTTTCATGGTGTGTACATTGGAAAATGCACTTATTTTCGTCCTGGCGAGGCTTCATTTCAAGTATATATACTCAAATCTAATTTGTCGTCTGTGGCCACGATCAGTTTAAAAATTTATTTGGTTTTTACTCAATAGTTTTCGAAATATTAATTTTTTGCAGGACAACTTTTATCGACCGTGGCATATTATAACTTACTATCGCTTTATGAGATTTTTTGCTGATGGTTTGATATTATTTAAATTTAAATTTATATTTTATATAAAAGATTCGTTAAAAATTATAAGATATATTTTTGTTTTTCACAAAACGGTGAGATGTCACTCTTTTTAAGGCGTTGTTATAATGGTGACTTCTTCCGATCCACCGGTTCAAATCGTTTCTGCATTAAAATCAAAATCAACACGTTTAAATGGTGTGCTATTTGGGCGATACTGGTCAACTACTCAAGGTCGAATCGCTGCAGAAGTTAGTCTTTTCATGTATATTTCTCATAATGTCAGTCAATTTTAATTCTATAGGCAATTACTAGATTTCTTGGGATGAATTACTAAATACTTGAAATTACTTGAATTTAATTGCTCCTATTCGAATTTTAATTGGTTGTACATAAACATCGTCTACGTATTCACATTATGCTTTAAAACTTAGCGTTTCCGATTAAAACCAGGTAGAAAATATTTAAAGCTATTGAAATCATATTGGTGTTTTCTATAGTTTCATCGTAAATCAAATGGATCTCAACAAAAGTTATTTCAAAAGAAAAGATTCATTGGTCGCGAATTCTTTTCGCATGAGGTGAACTGTTTGATTTCAGTCATATTTAAAAGAACATTTGACGATTTTAACTGAATTTAGCCAAAAATAGGACTCATTAATTTTTCGTTATGAAAATTATTTGTTAAATTTGCGATGTTAAGCCTAAGGACTATGGTTTCTTCTCTCTATTTGCGTTCTGAAATTTTTAGATAATCGATCAAAAGTTCTATTTAGAACTTCGTTTTGGAAGCGGCAGAAAGCGTTCGGCTCATTGCACTTTACACTGGGATAAATACGATTGTACCTTCACATATTTAGATGGAAATGTTTCTACGAATTCGTTTAATGTGAATGATCGTCAAGCTTTTCCATCGTTTTCTTTTAGTCGTGTTAAAAGTTTTGCAATACCTGAAATGCGTGACATTGTTGCCTAATTATTTTATAAATTTCTTTCTGCTATTTATAATAATTGTACATAAGTAGTTTTTTAGTTATTGTAAATTCTTTTTATTTATATTTTCATTAAACAATTATTTTTAAACAATTTAATAAATACGAATATTTATAAATAATTATGAAATATTTATGATATTACCAAATATTAAATATTATTAAATATTAAACTATTTGTGAAATATTTTAAAATCATGCAAAATTAAAGAATTTTTCGGTAAACAAAAGGATCATTGCAAGCCATTTTTCTAAGGTTCTTAAAAGAAAACGATAAATTTTTTTTGGAAAAATGGAAATGGATCGTTTTTAATGGTCAACAATTCGCTAATCCGTATTTTTTTCTTTTTTTCCAGTATTGACGTCATTTTTAATTTTTAGTACTATTGAAATTTAGAAAGGATTTTTGTGAATTTATATTTTATTTTAAAAGTTTAATAGAAGATAAAAGGTATATTTGTCGGAGATTTTTTCTTGTTTTTCTTGCATTATTTCCATATCACAATTATCATATCACAACATTCTAGGAAACAGTAAAATATTTAATAAAATATTTAATACTAATTGACTGATTTCACTGGCTACACTTCCAAGCCCCATCTCAAGTCAATTGGATTTGCCTGTAAATCGCTGGATTGTATATGTATTCCGGATCCTTCTTGGCCGTTCCACATCTTGATTTGCCCTCGTGCCATCCAAAAAAAGTTCGACATGTAGCGAAATATGCCTGAATTCCCGAGGCGGACAAAGAAATTGAAATTTCAAACGTAAACGGTCTCAGTTTTGGCGTGGTTCAGGCACGTGTCACAATTACGTGAATAACAGCTGTTAGTGCGAATCGGAATCGCTATGCTAATAATTGTTTTCCATTAAGAGGATGAATTTTGAGACCGTTATAGGGGTTAGATTATTAATTTAATTTCAGGTTAGGTCACGTTTTTTTTTTCCAGTCAGTTAGAAAAAATTTAAACACAACACGCAACTGATTCGATGTTCAACGAGCACTTCTCAAGAATGCATCCATTATCACTCCAACTTCAAGTCTTCCAGATTTATCAGCCCAATGATTTACGAGTATGATGTTATCATAACATGGGCATGTACTTTGGTAGAATTGGGAGACCGAACCATTTGCTCATGGACAGGCCGCTCCAAAGCCGAGAGATAGAGAGTGGTGAAAATTATAATTTGTCTTAAAACGAAAACAAGAATTCAGTAAATTTTTAAACTGACGTGTTATAATGTTAATTGTTAAGATACTTAAAACAAATTTTTATAGTTTTGAAGGTAGTCGCATGGTGTGGTTTGTTAGGGAAGAAATAGGAATGGGAGGAGGGTCTGTGTTTGTTAGTTTAATGGTTATGGGACCGCAGCTGTGGAATAAAAGGTCATGCATCGGTAATTTTTTAGCTATTGGACCCCGTCGTTAATCTCGGATTCAGTTAAAATTTAGTTGTAATATTTTGTATTATTCTCGAATTAATAGAAGAGTTTGTTCCTTAAAATTAGATATTTCCAGTTCTAATCTGTTCAGTGGTTGAATGTTGTCAACAGTTTGATTTATTGTGGATGGAATATTTCATCGAGGATCGAGCGAGGCATAGCTAGGTTCCACACTTTTGAGCGGTGTTTTCTCAACCAATAAATAATTATTCCTTCTTTTTCTATTTATATTTGCTGTATTCATCGTCTTTTATAGAAAGGGGAAAGCGAACTATGGAAATATCTCATTAACTATAGAAATTCTTGAATGCTGGATGACGTTGATTTTGAACTTTTCCTTCGATTTTCCTATAAAGTAGTTTTTTGATATTTGCTGATTAGCCAATGCAACTGCAAATTTATTTTATTTTGAGAGGGATGAGAGGGAATGTTGTGACTGTAATTTCTGATAGTGCGAATGGACGAGTTATAGTGCTTTTTTATTTACTTATTTATTTATTGTAATTTATTGCTCAATTAAATTTGATAAATGTAATAGACGGGAGCAGAATTTTAGTGGTGAAATATTTTTTGCTGTATAAAAACTTTCGATGAATTAGAATTAAAATTTTAGGTTAATTTTATTCTTGCAGATAATGTTGGTAGAGAAATTGCACATTGAAAATTCACGAACTTTAATTGATTTAGCGAAATATATCGCCGATATGTTTTGTCTTCTCCTTTTTTGTTCATTTCCTAGTTAGTTTTTTCTTTTTTTTTGTATTTCTTTACTATTTTTTCTCTTTTTTTTTAAATATTTATGGAAAATTTTTTTGAAAATCTTGCTGAAAAATTTTTCAGTCAAAATGGAAAATTTTTTAAATGAAAATTGATTCAAAAAAACAGCCTTTGAAAAATTCTGTTAATTTATGCATTAATTTTCAAATTGATATTTTAAGTGGTCAATTGTAGCAGCGCGGAAATTAATCGTCATCTTGAAATGGGCAAAGAATTTTTGTCAAAAGGATTATTAGCTGATGCATTAACTCATTATCATGCGGCTATTGGTTAGTTTTTATTAGAGAACTTTTTTTTTGCTCATTTTCCTTTACAAATTCTCCAATTTTATAGATTTTTAAATCTGTATTATTTCCTAAATTTTCTAGAGCTTGAACCGGACAATTACAAAACGTTATATTTGAGAGCAACAGTCTATCTTGGAATGGGAAAGTCGAAAGCTGCAGTACCAGATCTTAATGCTGTTCTCCAGTTAAAACCAGATTTTATTGCGGTTGGCTTTTTTTTATTCTTATGAGACACTATGATTTAATTAAGACTGGTATATACAGTTTAAAAGGAACAAGCCTTGAATAATAAAAAAAGTAATTAAGGTCGATAGCAAAGTAATTAAGGAAAGCCTGCTGTTGCAACAATTGGTTTTATAGATCCATAGATTTTTTGAACATTAAAAAGTTCATTTTATTTTATTTCTAAATTTATTTCTCTTCTAAGTACAAATAACCGGAAATATTTGGTCCGAAAAAGTTTAATATTTTAAATCTCAGCTTGTTACGGGAATAGTTCTGTTCATAGCGATAAAATTTTTTTTTTCTGTTTACTCTTTAGTCTTATTAGTGAATAAAAAAATTTTTAGCATTTTATTTCAGTGATTTTTATTACTTTTTGTTTATTTTATTTAGATATTGATTTGAAATTCAGGCTCGTATTGAACGTGGTAATGTTCTGTTGAAACAAGGAGATTTAAGAGGAGCTGAACGGGATTTCAAGGAAGCAGTGAGTTTACTTTTGTTTTTTTATATTAATTTTCATAGTTAACGAAATATTTTTTTGCTATTCTTCTACCATTTTTTGTTTCAAGTAAGAATGTTTTTTTATATTTTTTGCCACATTATTAATATTGCAAATATAAAATTTATTTGCTTATTCATTGTTGTAGTTATTATTTGCAGTTAATTCATGATGAGAGCAGTCGGGAACTAGAATCGAAATTGGCTGTTGTTTCAGAGGTTAAACATCATATGGAAAAAGCAAATGATCTTTTTGTAAATAATGATTGTATAAATGCAGAAAAATATTATACAAGTAGTATCGAGGTGCTTTTTAAATTTGAATTTATTCAAATTATTATAATATTAAAAAATGAAGATATTGAAAATAATCCTGTAGAAAGGTATTAATGTCAAAATGCAATAGGTATGCCAATGGAACGCTGCATTATATGAAAGAAGAGCTAAATGTTATGTTAAAAGTGGTAATATTATGAAAGCGATAAGTGATTACAAGATCGTTTCAAAACTTTCGCCTACTGAAACTGATCCTTATTTTACTCTTTCAAAATTGTATTATGATATTGGTGATGCTGAAGAATCTCTATCGTATGATTTTAATTTCTTTTAATAGTCATATATATTATTTAGAAATATGTGTATTTTCTTAACTTATTAAATATATTTCTGTTATTTCGAGTTTAGAGTATGACTGTCAATATTTTAACTTTCTTTTGCTTTTCTCCATTTATTTTATTTATTCCTCTAAAATCAATTAAATCTAAAGTCAGAATTGTTCAGGAATTTGCACAATTTATAAGTATACCTTATAAATGAAAATGATGGTCAACGTTTTCGCATAAACTGTACTTTTCAGGCAAATCCGTGGATGTCTGAAATTAAATCCTGATGATGAAGCATGTTTTTCTCATTATAAAAAGGTGAAAAAATTGGTGAAAATGCGCGAAGTCCTTAACGAAAAGGTACAAGCCAGTGAGTGGATGGAATGTCTGCAACAAGCTGAAAAAATCTTACGCTTTGAGAAAAAAGTTCCGAATGTGCAGCTGGATGTATTTAGACAAACTTGCAAGTGCAACTTGCATGTATATTTTTAATTTTTCATATTATGGCTTTAGAAGCCAGTTTTTTTTTCAAAAGACTTTTTAACTGAATCAGTATTCGTTTGTAATCCTATTGTTGCAGGCTGGTCATGCTATGGAAGCAATCACTGATTGTACAGAAGTATTAAAGAATGGTAATCCAAATGATCTACATGCTCTTTGTGATAGAGCTGAAGCGTATTTGCTGAATGAGCAATATGATGAAGGTACGTTTATATTCCTGCATTTCGTTTATGTCGTGCTTTGTTTATTTGGATTTTATTCTTTTTTTGTTCAGCAATCGAAGACTATCGTTCTGCTGTAAATGCGCATGAAGATTCGAGAAGAGCGAGAGAGGGTTTAAACAAAGCTCAAAAAATGAAGAAACAAGCTGGCAAAAAAGATTACTATAAAATTCTCCGAGTTAAGAGGTGAATTTGTCAATTTATCGTTGTCTTTTTTTACCTTTTTTTTAATTCTTATTTTATTATCGTTGGTTTATTTTTAGGAATGCCAATAAACAAACAATATTGAAAGCCTATAGGAAATTAGCTAGTCAGTATCATCCAGATAATTTTCCCGATGAAAAAGAAAAGAAACAAGCAGAAGCCAAATTTCTCGACATTGCGGCCGCTAAAGAGGTCATTTTATTTCATTCTAAAACCCTTTCTCTGTTTTTTTGGAATGATTTTTTATCACAAAAAATTTTAAGGTGTTAACCGATCCAGAAAAACGAGCAAAATTCGACCAAGGTGAGGATCCACTGGATCCAGAACAGCAGCAAGGTGGCTTCCAGCATCCATTCTATGGAGGTTTTCCTTTTGGTGGTGAAGGTTTTTCTTTCAAATTCCACTTTGGTTAATGTTATTGTTTACTTAAATATTGCAATCATTTAAACAGGTATTTCATAGTTTTGAATATATGGCATATTTAATAATGTGAAATATTAATGAATAAGTTGATAATAATTTATGATATTAAAGAGATGTAATTTGATAAGCTATTATGCGAATATGCCGTATATTTCACATATATTTTTATAAATTTTTTTATGTTGTCTAATAAATTATTTATTTCTGTATGATATGGTCGGCTCAGTTTCTTGTTTATTTAAATTATTTTTGTCGAATGAAGTATTTCTAGCTATTTTCCATATTGCTTTTCTTTTTTTTCTTTTCTCTGCCATGAATTTAATGATAAATGGTCACTTTTTTGATAATTTTTAAGAAAAATAAGAAAAATTCATTTTCTTTTCATACGAGTTAAGAATATTGGAATCTTTTATTGATGTTATTTAAATTAATCTTTTGTTGTTGGATGTGCATTATTTCTACGATTCTTTCTTTGTTTTAAGTACTTCAAAAAACAATTAAATTTTTAACAATTAAGAGCTTATAAAAATTCAAATTTAATGTTGAATAAACATATAAACAAATTAAACAATTTTAAACAACTTTTTTTGAAGGAATAATTATATTTATATTTACTAGTTCTTCTTCAAAGAAATCGCCAACTGGAAAGTAAATTACACGAAAATAAATGGAGATTCATTAGGCATAGCATAATAAAGAAATAATGCACATAATGTTGAATATTTGAGAATCGTAAAAAAATTCTTAAAAAAGGCAGCGACACACCATTTTATAAAAATATAATATCACAAAATAAAAATATTACAAAGAAATTTTTATAGATTTTTAACATTTTCAAATTAGAATTAAGTAACAAATTAAGTAGACTTCAAAGATGAACATATTAAACCTATCCAAACTGATTATTAAGCCTTTGAGCTTATTAGTTTTATGAAACAACTAAAATTCTTGAAAAATTAAATTTTTTTATCGTTTTAGCTAGCTCATAAAAAAAATTAGTCGAAATAAAAAGTATGGATGATAAAATAGCGAAAAAAAATAGAAATTTAATAATAGACTGAAAGAGTGAAAAAGAAAGAAATTCTTTTAAAAAAAGAAAAGAAAAAAAGAAGGCACAGAATTTAACATAATTCACAAATTGTTCATGGTTCAATAATTAAAAAAGATCAAACAACAAATGCTACGTTTATAAATTGAAACAAAATTAGGTATAAAAATTCAAGCACCTTTCCAAAGCTCTTTCCCATGCCGTAAATGCTTTTAATAAATTTGATCTTCTTTTCAATTCAGGAGTGAATGTCTCATCAATAATTATCATATTACATAAATCTTCTTTGGTCCAAATCTCTGAAAATTGATAAAAATTGATAAAATCCCTTAAAAATTCAAGGGATACAAAAGAAAAATTGAATTGATTCGACGAGTAAAAAAAAGGAAATATCCAGGTTTTTTTCTGCAGATAAAAATGAAAGATCTGATTTGCAGATTTCATAAATTCTAAAAAGAAATGATGAACTAAAATATATTTTTAAAAACCATTAAAATATTAAGAAACAAGAAATATTAAGAAACATGCCATTCTTGCTTTCTCTATAATAAATTGATAAAACAAACCAGAGGTAATTCCAGCCATCATAGCAGCCCCTTTCGCTGCTGCGAATCTTTCTTCTTTTATTCGTTGCAGTGGATGATTTAAGAGAGTACTTATCATCTGACAAATAAAATTATTCCCTGAAACACCACCACAACACCTAAAATAATAATCGCTTAAAGTAATTTATTTTACCAATAAAACCGAATAAATCATTCATTTTTCCATTTATTTTGTAATTTTTTGAGACTAAATAACTTGTTAAATAATTAATTATATAAAATTAATATTCATACTTAATGAAATCACCGTTGATGAAATTAATCTCTTTGAGTACCACATTCCAAATTTGATATATTCTAAATGCAATTGATTTGAGTATTGCTCGAAGCATTTGTTCCTTGGTTGTATTAGGCTGAATACCAATAAAAGCAGAACACGCTGAGTTATCATTAATAGGAGTATTTAAACCATTAAATGCAGGTATAAAATGTAGATCTATAAAGAAAATCTGATTCTAAGATTATTCTGATAGATTCTGTCGCGAAATGCCATGTTTTCTACTATTATTTATTATTTCAAAATGGTGAACCCGATCCACCAAAAGAAATCTTTCATTAACTTAATAATTCTTTGCCTTCAGATATATCAATAAAAAATAAAGGCCAATTTATAATCCCAATATATACAATAATATATATTGTATATTTTTTCAAAGAAATCACTCTTCTTCTTCTTGCCTCATTTTTTGGTGCCATCAAGGGACCGAGCGGATCTCAATGTTCAATATTATTCATTTTGCTATTTAATATTTCATTGTTTAAAAAATGCCTTATTTATTTTGAAATAGTTATCTTTGGATTTTTCATATCGAATATTATTTTTATCTATATATCTATATATTATCTATTAATTGGTTTATCCAAGTTTAAGGTGGCGAATAAAATCTTTATGGATAGGTGCGGTGATGAATGTTTATTCTACTGTTCTGATAAAGCAGCATGATCAAGGTTATTTAATATAATTAACGCGTGGAAGGAGAACAGAATCCCACTGCTTTCAAATATTATTAATTTTTTTTTACAATATTCCAAGCCGGAAAAATTGGCACTAATAGAAATTCAATTCAATTCAAAACGCAAACTAAAATTCATCTATGCATTTTTTAGTGAGTAAAAAATAAATATACCAGAATCTGTAGCGCTTTCAACAATTCTTGAAATTTCCTGCACATCACTGAATAAACCAATGGATTTGGCCCACTGAAGAACCATTACAGTACTGTTTGAAAAACCTTCAGCCAGAAAAGAAATAGAATCAGGAAATTTCCAGCCCACCAATGGATATAAACCTAAATTTAAAAAAAAAAATGAAAAGAATGAATATTCTAAATAGAAATCATTTGCTTTTAAAAAAGGTATTAATTAATATAACCTTTAATAGACAAATGGGGTTCAGTATCTGTATTCACATCAATGAAAGATCCAGTACCTAGAGAAATATTGATATCACCTTTATGCCAACAACCACATGCGAATGCAGCTGCTTGTTGATCACCTACCTAATATAATACATACAAGAAAGATCCAAACGATTCAAAAGATTTTTAGAGACCCAACATTTTTAGAGACAAAGAAAGAAATTGCCGACAATTTTGATATTTAATTAAATCCAAAAAGATAAGATAAGACAAGCATTTACTAAAGATCCAATGCTAAGCGGAAATCCAAATATCCTCTCATCTGTAACGGCAATGATTTGTCCAGCAGAATATGTTATAGTTGGCAACAATATATTTGGAAAAGAAACCAAAGACAACAAAAAATGTCCCCAATCCATCTAAAAAGATCAATTAAACGGACCAAAACAATAACTGAAAAATATTTGAAAAATATTCTGGGAAAAAATTTTCAACAGCAGAAAACGAACAAACCAATTAAAAAAACCAACTAAATACGGATCGAACATACCAGTCGAGCTGGCATTTGACGGTTCAGTTATGTGCATTTTGCCACCTGATAATTTGTAAATCAACCACGTATCTAAGCAACCAAATACAAGTTTATCCTCCGACAATAATTTCTTCATCCTTACATTCTAATAAAATTAAACTGAATTAGACATATAAACTGAATTCTGCTTTAAAAAAATGAGATCATTCGTAATATTCGTAACTTAAGAATAACATCTAAAAGTGAATTTTTTAAAAATGTAGAATTCATGCGGAATTCATAATAAATGCAGTACTGCTGTCGGAATATTTTAAAAATATTTTATTTTAAAAATGAATAACTTGTTCAATTGTGGCGATCAATCGAAAAGTAACCATTGCATTCATAAATGAAAATATATGAGCAGCTTTAAAACGCTTTTGCCTTGTAAAAAAATATAAGAAACAACCCATCGCATTTAACATCTTCAAATCATTTTTAACTATTGAATCACCTTCTTAAAAATGAATAAAAGCTCTTAATAAGAAAATCGATCAATCCTTTTTATTTTCAAAAATTAGAGATGAATAAATAAGAAAAACCTTGATAAAAAATGATTTGTTCCATGTTTCAGTCAATTTCTGACCTCGCAAATCTTTCCATGTCACAAATCTATGACAAATTTCACCGTTTTCTCTTGAAAAAAATTCTTTTAGAAAAAAGACCAAATTCGCAAAATTTAACAGCCAAAAAGAAAAATTTCCATTTACCTATTCCAACAAACGAATGTATTTCTTTGACAACTGATTCCAAGTGATGCAACTGAATGAACATCACCAGCTAAGGAAACTATAAAATAATAGTTTTTATTTATAAGCAGTTTAAAAAATAATGAAATTATACGATCTTAAATGATCATTCATATTCTTATTTTTTTAACATAATAAAAGATTTCTTTTCAAAAAAAGAAGCAATACAAAAGAAGCAAAACAAAGTTTTTTATTAAAATGGATATTTTAGAGAAATAAAACAAACAAAAAAACAAAAAGAACAATCTAAAAAAAAAAATAATCTAAAATAGAAAAAAGAAAAAACAATTTGTAATTAAACAATACCCATATTATCCCATTTACCTATTGTATAAAAAAATTCATAATTTATAAAAGGATAATTTACAAATTTTAAATAAAAATTTCATCGTATTATGGTTAAAGAATAATCGAAATGAATTATTGATGAATTTTAGCTTGACTGATTCTTTTTATCAGCGAGCAATGCTTGGGACGCATCCATATTTAAATTCTCTCTTTGGAAAAGCCACATTCTAGTCTGTTGGGCTAGCAAAACTAGAAACAATGAGGATATTAGAAAGAATTCTTTTGATGAAAATTTGTCAAATATTATTGAAAAAACTAGCTGATTTCTTTTATGGCATCGACAAATTGTTGCCAAAGAATGTGAGGATCAATTTCAACTCGTGAAAAATTATCATTCTCTGAACTGCTCTCCAACACAACCTAAATATACTTTATAATGAGAAATTGGTGACAAAAAATTAAAATATTGTACTCAAAATTACAATAATATAAAATATTACATAATAGAATTAATGAAATGTGAGGACTTTCACCTCAATAAAGTATTCTTCCTCTATATACCAGTACCACCAGTAATTAAATCCAAGCATTTATCTCCATGATCTTCCCCTTACTTTTGCAACTATTATCCCTTCCATACCTGATAACCAACAATTACTCATCACTCCTGGTCACACTCGGCTGGTTGAGCCATAGCTTTTGCCAAGGAGAAATTAGAAATATAGGTGACTCGCCGTATTATTTGAATTTGTGAGGTACAGGCTTATTTCTGCTGGGCGTAGAAACTTAGATTTCGGTGCTTCAAATCGAACAATAACCCACTGAACCATTCTCCTTCTGTTTGGTTTCGATGAAACATGATGTAACGATTCATACCGGATTCATTACCATTCCCGATTCTCGGTAATCATCTTCCCTTCCCACTAAACTAAACCGACAAACCATCAATAAGAAAGCGACACTAAAAAAAACAACTGGCCGATTTTTCAACGATTTCAATGAGTTGGCATTCACTGTCGAAGAGACAAGCTTTTAATGCAGTTGTGCCAACGTCAACTCCAATTATTTTTCTGTCACTAATTTTCATATTTATTTCCTCATCTGACGATAAAATTTCTTCTAAAAATTTAATTCAATTTATAAAATCTTTAACTTAAAAAAAAGATTAATAAATATTAATTAATAAATCCAAAAAATTTTTTTAGAAATAATTGCACAAACGTTTGAAAAAAACAAAAAATTTTAAACGAAATGACAAAAACGAAAAATAATAGAAAAATTTAAATAACAAATAAATCAAAAAGTAAATAAATCGAATAAAAACAATGAATTTAAATATTTTGTGAATAAATTTTAATTTTTGAATAATTTTAATTATCAATTATATAAATTAATTTATTATTAAATTAATTAATATTTAATTAATAAATTATTAATAATATATTTTAATATATTAATAATATTAATTTTATAAAATATAAAATATATTATAAAAAATAACGAAAAATCACGGCAAAAAACAAAAACACTTTAAAAAACAACTACCCAAATACCTTAGAAAACTTATATTCCATCTAAAAGTTCCATCGCCTTCAAAAACGAAAAATGCAAGGAATAGCTCCCGAAGCCGACAAGTACACTTGATAGCGTTACAACTGACAGATGAAAGAATGAAAGAGGACGAAGCCGCAGTCGACAGATACTTGTCGTATCAGATGCGTGATAAAAAGTAGCCATTATTTCTGCGCAGAGTGGCTGCAGTGGCTGTGGGTGAAATTTTTTTTGGAAGACGTCTTTTTAATGCTCGTCAATTAATGGACACGTGGATCACGTGAAATTTTATTGTTGTCAGTTTTAATTTAATCTGTTAACTGTGCTCTTGTGAAATGATTGGACCGGTCGTGATGAAAATGCGTCAAATGAACGCGACGAACCAGTAAATTATTGCCATATCCACGCGAGCACGATCGGGGAGCGAGCAATTGTCTCCAACATTTTTCCGCCCTCTCTCTCTCCGTTCTCTCTTTTTTTCATGTAGTGAGTCGCTTGTTTTAGGTGAATTTCACTTATTTTTCAAAAATTTCAGTAAGTAATGTTTGTTTTCTTTGTCGATTGGCTTACTTTTTAACAAAATTAACAAAATAATAATTTCTGGATGAATTGTGTCAAATGTAACGATAAAGGTACGCTTGCCGGTTTAGATGTTACAAAAGTGTATTGTAAAAATTGCTTTATAAAAATGGTTAAACAGAAATTCAGTTCCGCTATTGGCAAACATCGATTTTATAAGGTTTTTCCGAAGTTTTTTTGAACTTTTTTTTAATTTTTAAGAATTTTTGGTAAAAATTAATTTATTTAATTTTTTTAATTTATTATTAATTTATTTTATTATATATTTGAAATTTTATTCGTTTTTTTTAGCATAAATATTTTAAAAATGTTCTAAAATCTTAAAATTTTAGAAATGTTTTGCGAAATTTGATAATTTTTTTTTTATGGGATGGTGCTCGTAAAGAAACTTTAATCGTTTACGATGGAAATGCAGCATCAGCATTTCTTTTATCATTAATTAATGAGAATCTTAAAGCTGATACGCATAAGAAGGCACATCTTATTCCAACGGTTTGTTTTATAATTTTATAATTTGCATAGTTTATTATTTATAAATTATTAATTTTATTGTAAAAATTGCTTTATAAAAATGGTTAAACAGAAATTCAGTTCCGCTATTGGCAAACATCGATTTTATATAAGGTTTTTCCAAAGTTTTTTTGAACTTTTTTTAATTTTTAAAAATTTTTGGTAAAAATTAATTTCTCTAATTTATTGTATAACTTATAAGACAATTTTTAATATTTTGTTAAATACTATATTATATAATAATTTACCTATCCCAGTTGCGATATATTTTTTCCCTCTTTTTTTATATCTTTTTTCCTTTCTTCCAACTGTTAAAACTATCTTGCTAAACCTCTGCTAATGACACTGTTTTCTTGGTTTTATACTATATTGTAATCAAAATTTTTTATTTTATAATATCATAGTTCTTATTATAGATTATGGTGCTTTTGACGGTAACTGATTCTAAAAGCTTGAATTCTGTTATCGATAGGATAAATCATTTTAAAAAAATAATCGATTGTCGATGGATCTTTTGCCATATTGCATCATTATTTAGGCCCATTACAATATTCAACGAAGATGATTGTTCAGTTTTTGGAGAAGATTCGGTTCGAAATGTTATTTTTGCAAAAAAAAATCTATGCCCTCTTTACAGATTGTTATTTATATTTTTAGGTAATGAAATGGAAAGAACTTCTTGATTCATGTAGCTCAGAAAGTATTCGTATTGAGTTTTTGCGCATGTGTCGTATTTTACTCTGTATTCGTGTGGCTGATTGCCTCGGCATCGACAAAGTAATGTTGGCCGACTCTTCTGATTTTGTTGTAAATTGCACTCTCTCTTCTCTTGCATTTGGAAGAGGTTTATTTTTATTTTTTATTAGCTTTCAGACCATATTCGTGGTGGATTTTGAATTTGTTCACTTTTATAGTTTTGTGGTTCTGATAGTGATTTAGCCAATTTCATAAAATTTTTAAAAATTTTTAGGTCCTGCAGTTCATAATACTGCGAATATTGTTGATAAAAGTTTTACGGGTATATCAATAATACGTCCACTCAGAGATATTAGCAACAAAGAGATAGCTTTATTGAATAGGTAATCCGATAATTATGTAAATTAAATGTAAATTAAAAGAAATAATTTTTCAGTTCTTATTATTCTTATTTATTATTCTTATTATATAAGTTACTGTGGATGTATAATTTTCAACATGTCTTTTTGATGTTATTGATATTCATTGTAAACTTCTTTATTTAATATTTTATATTAACTAATGAGAAATCTATTTATATCTCAAATTAAATCTTTCAAATTAATTCATTAACTCTAAACTATTCATTTTTGTTTTATAGGGAAAAAAGAATTTGTAGGTTTGAAAAAAATGATGAACTTTTAATAATATTGAATAACGATGTCGGGAAAAATAGTTTGCAAAGCTGTACGGACGATTTCGTCCAAGATCTCTGTCGTCAAGGTTTTGTGGGCACTATTCCAACGATTCTGAGCACAACAAACAAATTACATTTTCCGATTTCTTTCAGTCGTCGTTGTAGTTTTTGTGCTTCTCGATTTGATGAATCTACTTTAGACAGGTTTTTTGTTTGTCTATCATAACACTTTTTCATCGCTTTATAAGAAATATTCAGTTATTTTTCGTTCAAACTTTCTATCTGTATTCAGATTTTGTTATGGTTGTTCGGCTGTTCTAAAGGGCGTAAAAAATGTTGAGATGCTCGATGAAATTTTTTGCTCAGTGATTCATTCGACCAATTGTTAAATCATATCAATTTTCTTTGCTTTTGTATTCATCTATTCTGATTAGTAACAATAAATAATTGATAGTTGCATTATTTAAAATTCTATTGTATTACTTCGTTTATTTTTTGTGGACGGATAAAATTTCGTTATTCTAACATATTATTGACGCACTATTATTATTGGTTAATCTACTGAGCATTAACTTCAGATCGTTTAGCCATCATTTGAGGATAGAAGTATAGGTGGTTTAGTTCGGATTTTATCCCTCTTTCAGAGGTTTAGGAATTGAGAATTGAGAATTGAGTGATCCAAATTGGCTTATTAGCATCTCATAATTTACTAATTGAAAATCGGAGGTAGGAATCATTTTTAAAATTATATTATTATCAGAATTATCATAGTAATTGTCGAGTTAATAACAAATGCTATGAATTTTATATTGTTTATTTTTCATCTAAAGTAAAACTTTTGGGTATTTATAGTCTAAAAAAAGAATTTCTTTTAAAAAACCACTTTAAATAGCAATTATTCTAGGCACATTAGTTTTAAAGATGGGTCGGGCTGTTGTGGGCGATCGTCCTGAACTTTATTCGTTACGTTTCTCTAGTTCGAGCTGAAATTCTCTCGTTTCTAGATTCGATCTTTTCCAGGTGCAATTCATCTTGTGTTTATATTTTTCATATTTCTAACAGTTGTTCTACTATCATAAATGATTTGCACTTATTGATTTTATTTAAATCATTTATTTAATTTTTATTTTTTAGTTGTTTTTACTTTTCTAATAGTTGCAGAATTGAAATAAATAAACGAGTTTGTTTTAAAATTCTGATTTTCACGGAAAAAAATCAAATAAAAAAGAAATAAATTTTTTATAATAATGAAGATCGTCTATTCAATTATTATTTAATAGGAATTTTTTTAAGGAAAAATTAGCAATTTTTACGATTTTATTGAGAAAAATTTGAAATCGTCGCACCCCGACTTATGGATTATAAAACATTGCCATTGAATTGGGCAACGATTCCCGAGGAATTGTTAGTTATTGTGATGTCCTATCTAAATGCCAAAGAGCTTATGCGAATTGCACAAGTTAGCTATCACTGGAGATGCGTCGCCGAAGAAAATTGCCTCTGGCGACCTTTATTTTTAAAAGACTTCAAATTGTCCGATCATTGTAAATTAAAGGTAATTTTTTTAAAAAATTATTATATGACAAGTAAATATTCTTGGCGAAGGAAAGCATCAAAATTAGCTGATTCTTAGAATATTTTAACTTCAAAATTCGCATTTTATTTATTGACGCGTGATCATTAGTTGCATGAAATCCTCAAAAATAAAACTTCCTGAATAGTCGTGGATTTTAATATTTAATATTTGCATGAGTTGGCTTATATTGAACAATATTCCTAAATTAACTGACACATTACGCATTAGAGATTCTCTTCTAACGAAATTTAACTGTTCAATTAGTGATCCCCCCCCCCCTCACTTTTTTTAAAGAGCACTAACCTGGTTAGATTCGCTCCTCTGGTTTATCGGACTAGACAAATATGCCAGGGAGTCCCTTGGCGATATATATCACACGGATTTTTGAGCACATTCACTTCTATTGGGAGTGCTCTGAATTAAGCTACAACCCACTGAGCAATTCATCATTTTCTCCGTTAAGCGACATTGCCGTCGGACGAAGAATGATGCATTGGCGGATTTGAACCCAATGCTTCGATTCTTGGTGATAATTATGCCAACAAACCTCCATATTATCTTACGTATAAGTTACGACATAATGCAGTGCATTACGATCGAAAAAACAACTTTTAACATCAGTTAGCTCATTGGTGAGTGCTAATCGTTTACTTACCGGATCGCTTACTAATTATGGTTTGGATCTCTTAACTAATTGCTAGGGTAAGATTGCTTTATTAGGAAGCCATTTCTGGATAGAAATATAGGTGAGTGCTTAGAAATCCTCCCCAAAATCTTTTAATCCTGTCAAAAGAGTCGCAGAGAGACGAAAGAAATCGAAGCGCTTTGTCCCCTCTCATAAAATTAACTAAAAATTGTATATAAAAATATATATAAAAAATGAAAGATTTTAGATTTGTTCAAGATGGATTGACGAATATAAAATGTTCAAATTCAATGTACCGAACGAATTGTCGGAAAATCTTCCGGATTGCTACGAAGGAATGTCGTATGTTTGCTTTTCCAAAGACGGTCTCTTATTTTGTACGGTTGCTTGCAACGCTTCATTTAAGGTTTCTTTTGTTATTTTTTTTTCGAAGTTTAATTTTTGATTTTTTCAAGAAAATAATTTGGAAAAAATATTTTATATTTTTAAAATATATTTTTATATATATAAAAATATTTTTTTCATTTTCGCCATTTACCACTTGCATTTCTCGAAAAAATTATCATTGAGCTATTCTATAAAATAATTTTTTAAAAAAGTGATATATTTAAGAAAAAATATTTAAATATAAAACAAATAAATATAAAATAAATATTTTTAAATTTTTTAATCAATAAAATTATTTTTTAATTAAAAACAAAGTAAAATAGTTGACTAGCGCCCACTATTTCCGATTAGGTTTTTTCGTTTGTTTCGTTGGCTATTAGAAATTTTCGGAGTTATTTTTGCAAGAAATGCAAGAGAGCGTAGGAGGACGAATCTTTGCCTTCTCATCTCAATACGACATTCCGAATTACGATGCACTCGGCTATAGTGGCCTTATTTTTCACTAAAAATTATAAATTCATCGGAACTTCTATTTGCGCATTTTTTTTTCGAGTAATCATCTAAAAATTATGCAAAATACGACAAAGCATTTTTTAAAATACTTTTAAAATTTTTGAAATTTTGGATAAAAATTTTTTCAAATTTTTTCAACAAAAAGAACATTTCATGATTCTTTGAAATGCTAATAATTTCATGAAAAATAGCGAGAAATAAGGATTATTTAGATTTGGACAACAACACATCCAGTGTATTTGTTTCATGAGCGGCATCTTGACGAGGAGTTAGACTGGGAACAAGCATTTTTTGCCGAATTCAGTCCTGACAATAAGCACTTGTTAATCTCCGGACTAAAATACGATGGAACCGGAGAAATTGCTGTTTTTTCAATCGATGGTACATTATATCGGTGAACGATCCCTTATTATCAAAAAACTGATTCTTTTCGGTGAACCGTAAGAATCATGTTAATCACACGAATTTGAAAATAACTTGTTTGCAAAATAAAAAGACGAATTCTTTAGGATTCTTATTATTTCACTGGCCTAAGACCGGTGTGCTACTTCGGAATTTGTAGTTAGTTTAGAAACAAAAAAATAGCCGAAGAAAATCGTGCATCGACTAATATTTAATCATCTATCCTTTTTAATTTTATAAAGTGTACTGATTTGCAGTGGACGCAGATACTGTCAATTTTTCATGTCGTGTTCGCAATAGTCCACCTGAATTTCAAACTTCATGGATAAATAATTCTTATATATTTGCTGGTGAAATTTTTCATCTCAATCCACGGTATAGAATATTATTCCAATGAAAATTATTAGCGTATGAACATGAGGCCATTTCATTAGAGAATCATTTGTAGATGGAGGTGCGCGGTGGTCCTCAGGAGTGTTCAGAAGCAACGTCCTCTGGACCATCTGCAATTGCATATATGACTAATTGATTGATTTTCTTTACTCGTACTACTGACTAATCCCGTATTGCATATACCCACTGTATTGACCAAAACTGTGTCTTTTGTAGTTCGGTTATTGGTTCTTCTGTATCTCAACTGTGGATTTGTTCAGCTAAGTCGTTTTATGAATGCAATGATGCCGCAATATTTTCTGCCCTTTTCAGGTTATTTAATAATTATTTTTAATAATTTCGAATTAATTAATGCGATTTACTTTGTAAGGAAATGGTGGGGTACGGTAGTCGGTAGCGAACTAATTGCCTAGTAAAGAAATGGCTCGAATACGGTAGTCCTTATATGTACCGACAATTGCGCGAGCGCGAATGAAGCTGATCCCGTTAATTGCCTAATAACGTATTAGTTGAACTACGGTAATCAGATAACAACGATGTGTGTATGCGATGACAGTTGCGTGCGAATAAAATGAATCTAACTGGCCCCGTTATTTGTTTTGTTAGTTCCACAAAATTAAAATTCTTTCAAAAAAAAGAGAGGAATTCAATAAATTATGACGTATTTAATCCGAATAAAAAATTAGACTGCTAAATCGAGGTGGTGGATTCTGTCAAAAAGTCACCGTCGGACGATATATATCCTCACGTCTTCGTGGTGTCATTATGTTAGCACAAGAAGCAGCTAAAGAAAATAAGGTTTATTTATTTTATAATTTTTCAAGCTACTTTACCAAAAGTGATCGCTAAATTTCCGTTATATTTTCGGAATTCACCTTTAATAATGGGCTTATTTTTATAAAGATAGAGAAATTGAAGCTTGAAGCTTTACTCGGAGCAATACACCACTCCACCTTTTGCCTATAATTATCTCACAATGGTATTGTGGTCCTATAAGAATGTCCATCTAGTATTCGTAATCGAAATATTTTTTGTCGAAATTTACATTTTTCTTAACATTTAATATGATTAATAAATAAATTTATTACTTTTAAAACGAGAAAATTCAAAGATTGGAACTTATAATAATTTTTAAAAGTCCTCACCATCACTGGTTAATGCTTATTCGGTTAGCTTATCGTACTGGCCAAATATGCCAGGGAGCACCTTAGCGACAGGTGAGTAGCCAGCACCATCCCAGATTTTTGGACAAGTTTATTCCTGCAAAAAATAGAATCTCAGCATCAGCGCTTTGAATTGGAGCAATAACCCAGTGAATTCTGAGAATAATTAAGTCAACTGCAAGCAAACAGTAATTTTTTTTTTGCGATTTCCAGTATTTTATATGATTTAAAACCATTTAGCATATTATAACGGGGTCAGAAAGGGGGCAGAAAAGGGGAATAAGGTTTTCCTACCTTTACAATTAATTAATTTTAGTCTCTTCTGGTGAAAAGTAACGAAATTATAAGAGACGCATCGATAGGCGATGAAGAAAAACGAAACGAAATGAAGAAAAAAATTGACTTATTAAGTCAACAACAACTATCGAATTGTTCAAGCTGTAACGAAAATCACCGTCATGAAAGCGATTTTCAATTTTTTTGTTGTAATTGCTATTGCCATGAAGAAAATGATCGTCTCCTTATATATGCATCGAGTGAAACTTCAACACTTCCACCTCATTGCATTTCATTTAAAATTATTCATGGAACTAAGGTATTTTTATTCTTCTTCTAACAGCTCTCACCATAGCTGGTTAGGTTGGCCCCGCTGGCTACAAGAGTAAGACGTCTCCAAGCTGCTCGGTCCGATGCTACCGCTAGTAGTAAAAGAAGCCATTCCTTTTTCCATCGTCTAAGTCCATACTAAGTATCTTTATTAAATTTTTTCTCATATAATTTTTTTTTCTTAACAATGATATTACTTATCACTTTTGATTTGAATAGTTTCAATTGTTATATTAAGATGAAACGCTTATTGTATTTTATAGTATATCAGTGAAACAAAAGCAAACCCATACTAAAAACCTTCACTAATTAGGTTGATTAGGCTCGCCGCTTGGCTTGTCGAACTGGACAAAGACAGGTTTACTCTTGCAGCGAGTAGAGTTCCAGATCGACGCTTTAAGTAACAGCAACAACCCACTGAGCCGCCATTCTACACGACTTCTTATTTGTTAATGATCGAATGATAAATGTCAGCATGTTTTCAGGTTCTACGAAAATTGTATTCCGATACGAGAGCATATGATAATAATGAAGAAAGGTTCGAAAAATAATTTTTTATATCTGCAAAACGTATTTTCTATTGATTTCGATTTAAAAAAATTATAAGACGGGAAAACCAAAGCACTTGACCTTTGAATGACCCCGGCTCAAGTGATTCATACAGATTTGTGGATAAAAATTTGAATCCTTTTCATTTCTGTTAAATATCCAAGTAATTTTTTAATAATTTCAATGAAATATATTTATCAGTTTATCATTTTAGTGAGGCGGAGAATGGCGCAGATCGAGATCAGTTATCATCGATTATTGCGATGATTGATTTACCTGATCATATCATTGATCTCAAAGCACATATAATGGGATTTTCCATGAGCGAAGATCATCGGTTCTCTCTAGCTTAACTATTTCATAAAATTTTATTTAAGCTGATCATGCATCAAATATATGTTTTTAATAATTCCTTAATTTTTCAAAAATTATTTTTTTTATTATTTAAATTATAAAAATTATTTTGAAAAAAAAACCAATTTTAAACTGAATTAAAGTAATAATTAATAAGCGAATTTTTGTTAAAACAAAAATATTGGTTCCGCTAACTGATAATATCAGAAATTTTTGCCAAGAACGTAAGAGGAAACAAATGGATAACTACTTGAGATTTTTAATGATAGATTTGTTGGTGCACGAAAATGGACTAATAATGACCAACGTGAACCATAGCAACCATTCGACTATCCCTGTCCTAAGATGAAAATTTATTAAATTATTAAATTAAATCAAAAATTGATCAAAATAATTTACAGGCAATTACTGGTCAATATAACGCATGATAACTATTTACATAATCCGGAATATAATTTTATAGTAAGATTTATTATTTAGTTTAAATTAATCCTAATATGACTTTTATATACCCTCAGAATGATATAAATGAGGGGAGTCTTTTCGGTTATATGGACAGCAGTTTCACTCTCACTTATTCATGGTAGGGGGAAGTAAAAAATAGATGAATGAAGATTAAATCATCATTTACGAAGTAGATCATCAATAAGGAAAGAGATGAGAAAGAAAGAGTTGGAATATAGGAGAAGAAGGAAAGAATGAAGAAAGAGAGTATTTTTTGTCGATAAGTGGTTAGGGCACCACTCATCACTTTTCGATTGGTTTAGTTCCAATAGCTGTTGGTATGGCAAGAAATTCTTGCTGAGTCATTAAAATAGCAATAAAATATTATCGACATAACCCGAATTTTTTAATAACGGATTTGTGAGAGGCAAAAATTACTCGAAAATTTCCTCTCTCATCTCTTATTTCTCTCAAGGCTACGTTTAGTCGAGCGAACATACCATTCGGTTAACCTATCCCCACTTCCTTCATCTCTTATTTTCATAAATTTTAAAGGCTGAAATACGAGTTATCAATCTTTCGACGATGACGTTTGGTAGTTCATATTTCGGTCATTTTGCAACTATCACTGATCGTTTTCAATGTTCCATTGGTGGACCATTTGTTGTTAGGTTAATTTTCCTATCGAATCAAATCAAGTTTTTCCAATCATTAACTTTTGAATCTTACAAAATTTGGAATCATTTTCAAATATTTTGCACAATTGTCAACAATTTTATTTTTGCCAAAAAAAATTTAATATTTTTTAATATTTTTAATTTTTTATACATACAACAATACAATACAACAATGAGAGATAGGATGGCTTAGTGAGTTGTTGCTCAATTAGGACACTAAGACTCTATTCCCAGCAGGAAAAAACCTGTCCAAAAATCCGGGTGTCGACTGGCGACTCACCTGTATTTCTACCGCCAAGGGACTCTCTGGGACTTTGCATATTTGTCCAATACGACCAAAGCCAGTGGAGCGAGTTTAACCAGTAATGGTTTAGGACTCTTAAAAAAATGAATTATAATATATGATATTATTCATAAAATATTTATGAAATGTTCTTGTCATCAAATTAAATTTGAGTGCTGCTGGGAGAAGTCATCGATACTTTAAGTGATACTTGTCTGGTTTAGTAATCAGTGATAATGCTTATCAATGCAGTTAAATTATGTTTACATAATATTATTTTTATTTATTTAGCGGTTCTAAAGATGGCGGACGTATTTGGTCAAAAGATTACAAATGTGTTATTGGTAATCTCTCACATGGTTTTGATCATGGAATAACAGCAGCTGTACAACCAATTGATGGAAGTATGATTGTTACTGTCAGCAAAGGTGATGACAGTATTAAAATATGGCGAAGCAAGAAATTTTTACAAAAGGAAATTGTTGTTCCCAATGATTTTATGTAAAAAAAAATGATCTTGAAGCTATTGAGCTGGATCTCTACCTGTACATAGTTCATGATCTGAACCATCTAATTGCTTTCTAGTTTATTTTTAGTATCAGCTTATGCCGATGAGAAACTCCTACCAAGTTTTTCACGACTCTTATTACGACTTTTTTCTTTGTTTAAATTAATATTTACGCAATAAAGATTAAAAACCTTTCACCCGAAATCTAATCTAATTTTCAGCTAATTTCCTCCATTTTCCCTTATGTCAAATCATTAAGGACCATTCCAAGCAGCGATCCTTATGCTATATATTTTTCCTTTGAGCATTTTTACCAGTTCCATTAACGCTTCCAGTACGAATGTGACATTTTAATGTGACATTAATGTTTTTCTCAGAAATTATCATTCTTATTTTTTGGTGATAAGTGTCGCGATTTCGAAGAAAATTATTTTTATAGTCTATAGTCTACATCCAGATAAAAATAGCAAAAAAAAAAAATTTTCGTGGCGAATCGATATTTGCATAAATTGCATCCATTTTAAATTGAAATTCCAGCACATCTCTCCAAGTAAAAAATTGAAGAAAAAATTTCCAGAAATGAATGGATGATTTGGGTAACAAACATTCCCAAAATAATGTTACTTATATACCGAATGCACATGGGCGGAGCTTCAGTAGTTTCTTATTTTTAATGTCTTAACTGGGAGATTCGCGAATCTGCAATACAGATTCTCAATTATGTTTGTGCAAGCAAATCTTCACCACATTTCTACTCAGCCTCGTTCCATTAGATTTTGTTTATTTGGGCATGGAAATATCAGTTGTTTCTAAACGTCACCTGGATAAGATTTACTGCAACTGAGCAACAATCATTCAGCTGTCTTATCAATCATACATACCTATGTATTTACATTTATTCCTAAAAACTCGATAGGGATTGGCTATTATTAGCAAAATAGGAAAGCCAAAAGAAAGCAGAGAGGGCAGACTAAAAGACATCAAAAAACAATAAAATTTCGTCCTAACTGAATTCGAGTAGTATTACTTTTTTCTGCCTCTGCATGGAACCTATCACGATGCAGGAATTAAGCTTCCTGTTTTCTACTCTCAAAAAATCCTTCGCGCACTTGCTATGTCTCCGAAATATATAAATTATTATGGCAAAGTGCAAGAAAACCCCTAAAATAAAATTACTGCTGAATGAATGAGAATAACAATATGTAGAAAAATTGAGAAGGAAGAGAATGGAAGGAAAAGAGGACATCGAACCTCTGCTAATGTGTCAGATACGATGGAAGTGTATTTACGAAATATTTGCGGCTAATTACGAATTCTATAAACTTATTTATTTTACAAATTATAGGCCAGAAAAGAAAACCTGCAAAAACATGGTTCTATACTGGCAACAAATCACAGAAGGACCAATCAAGCCAGTCTTGCAAACGTTTAAAACTCCGAGTAGCGTTTTAATAGCTCACGTGATTTTTAGAAAAAAGCGAATCGACACTTACTAATCTTGTCGTAACGGCAATAATTTAATAACAATAGGTTCAATTAAGCCAAACTAATTAGACCAAAGAAAAAAAATGTATACTGAAAATTGGTGAAATTATTCAATTCACATTAGGACATTCCAAACCACGCAAGGACACCACAACTCACATTCGGACTTTTCGCACTGACAGAAAAAAAAACACCGATCACCTGGCCCATTTCGGTTCGCACCAGAATATTTTATACCGCGTGAAGGAACGCTCAAGTCGCCACGCCAGAAATCACCACAGACCGACTTGCAAAATTTTCCTGTTTTCTTACACCAAACAAGAAGTCATATGAGGACATTGTACGAAAGCCAGAAATCATATGACAGGCGTGATGGATGTGACTGGTGTGACACGTGTGACACGTGCAATCTTGGGAAAAATGATGCAACAAAATTTGATGGCTATGAAAGAGAAAAGTTTTCACCGCACAACATGGCACAAAACCCTATATATCACTTTCGGAATTCTCACAAGTTACAGATACCGCAAATGCAACGACACGCATGCGACAACACGCGACGGACGTGACAACGCTCAACGTACAGCTTTCCACTGACCAAAACACTTAGTCATCGTTGTTTTTGCTACGCATTTTACATTGCATGTGAAAAAAGTGTGGAAGATCCCTCGGAATCATTCGCGATTCATACATAAAATTTATTTATTTGATAAAAAATATTTACATAAAAATTTTATATCTTTGAAAACGAAATCAAATATTTAATGAGATTTTTCTTTAAAAATCTTTTTTGGAAATAATTTCAGTGAAAAAATTTCCAAAAAATTTGGCACTATTTCATCACAAAAATGATATGGTCCCCCAAACAAAGAATAATGGAGGTGGAGCATAAAAATTGGATGATCCCTCAAGTTCCTCCGCGCACATCAGGCGCGAAAGTTTTACTATTAAATTTGAACAAGAATTTTAAAAAATTTTGATAAATTCATTCTTTTCACCAAATTACAAATTTAAAAAAATAAAATTTGAAAAAAAAATCGCAAATTTAGCAAAAAAGTTTCAAAAAATTCTTAGCACTATTTCTTATGAAAGATTTGTGACGGTCCCTCGATGAAGATCAGTTAATACGCATTTCAATAGGAAAGGCAGTTTGATTGGTAAGGCAATTCTCGTCCGGTTGGTTCATTTTTAGCTGAGAAGAGGCATTGACGGTCGATCTTCGTTTTTGTTTTACACAAATTTCACTTGGAAGTTCAATTTTCAATCCGAAATTGTCGTTTTTATAATATTGTTTAAAGCTGATTTGATCTCTCTCAGTTATTATTATTGTTCTTAAAAATAATGTCGGACTCGAAGGATGAACTTGTACAACGCGCTAAACTTGCCGAACAGGTCTCTTTTTTTGTTTATCTCTAGGTTTTTTTCTTAAAATTTGGCCTATTTGTAGAAAGTTGGCGTTTTTATGGAAAATTTGGCCATTTTCAGCCATTTGGCTGAAAATTGGTAAATTTCTTAAAATTCTTTGTAGTTAATGAATGGAGGAAAAGTTTAGAGTTTTTGAGGGGAAAATAGAGGTGATTTCGATGGGTTTTCGCGTAGAAATGTCTTGAAGTGATTTATGGTACTGAGCGATCAAAAAATCAGTTGTTATTTGGTTTCCGCGGAATTTTGTGATAGAGGTTTAATACAAAAATATGGGCAGATTCGTTTAAAAACATTGAAGAGAATGTAATCTAAGTTTTTCTGATATTAGGATCGATATCTTGGTTGCAATCAGGAAGTTTGGGAATATTTGCATCAAAAAAGCTCGAAAGAGCTTTTTTATATGTTTTGATAGATTGGTATGTTTGTGGTGAAAAATGATTTGAGGATGCTAATTTTAAGGTATTTTCATTCACCAGTGGGGGAAGTTTCGATGTAAATGCATTTTTTCTGAACATGAAGTTTGGTATAACTGAGAAACAGTAGCCTTTCTTTGAATTGCGCGGGTTGGTAACAAAATTTTCTGAGCAAAAGTTGGGTTTTGTTTGAAGGTACTTTGTCCATTTTTGATGTGGATTGGGTCAATGGTGGTTCTTTTTTATTTTATCTTTTTTGTGGTGCATGGCTGTAATTCTTTGGGAAGGTCGAGAAATCCCGAAATGATACGTGAAGTGGAAGTGTTTTTTGTTGACTTTGGTTTTGTTTAATGAAAAATTTGTATGGAAGTCTTAAGTTTTATTCAATTAAGGATCTTTTTTCCATCTTAATTTGAACATGAGTTAATTTTGAAATATTTTGAGTTTTTTGACTTTAGGCAGAACGGTATGATGATATGGCGCAGTCAATGAAAAAGGTGACGGAATTAGGAGCTGAACTAACTAATGAAGAACGAAATCTTCTTTCCGTTGCTTATAAGGTTCATTCTCCTTCGTGAATTTTTTTTTACATATAAATTGAACAATAATCTAGTGTGGGCGAATGATTTTAGAATGTCGTCGGAGCGCGTCGTTCATCATGGAGAGTTATCTCTTCAATCGAACAGAAAACTGAGGGGTCGGAAAAAAAACAAGCTATGGCGAAAGAATATCGTGAGAAGGTCGAAAAAGAATTACGAGATATTTGCCAAGATGTTTTGGTAAGTGCCGCCAGTTTTTATCGATTTGTCTTTTTTCCGCATTCTACGTGGGATTTATTTTTCGTTAAATTTCAGAATCTACTGGACAAATATCTTATCCCGAAAGCGGGTAATCCAGAATCCAAAGTTTTCTATTTAAAGATGAAGGGGGATTATTACCGATATTTGGCGGAGGTGGCAAGCGGTGATGATCGCAATGGTGAATTTTTTTTAATGTTTAGCCAGTTGGAGTTTTTTAGCCAATGGCCTATAAAAGATCCAGTTCCGTTTAGTTTCTGTAAGGATAAAAGGATCCGGAATCGTCGTTGAGTGGTTCTGGTTTTTTGTTGCGTAGAGTGGATTTGATCAGGATTTATTTAGTGGTAGTGGAGAAATCGCAACAATCTTACCAGGAAGCTTTTGATATTGCGAAAGAGAAAATGCAGCCTACACATCCGATTCGGCTTGGATTGGCTCTGAATTTCTCAGTCTTCTACTACGAAATTCTAAATGCCCCCGATAGAGCCTGCCAACTCGCAAAACAGGTGTGTCATCAATTCCAAGTGTTTATTAGTATTTGAAATATTTCAGCAGTTGCGAATAGCGGTCAAGCTGCTTATTCGGAGGCGCATGAGATTGCTAAAGCGCAGCTTCCCACCACGCATCCTGTACGGTTGGGTCTCGCTTTAAACTATAGCGTTTTCTTCTACGAGATTTCATCAAGCCCGGACAGAGCTTGTCAGCTCGCCAAGCAGGTCGTCTTGTGTGCATGTCGTTATTTTTATGAGCAATATCGCTTTTGATTTTAGCAATTCGTTCTTAAGATCATGTTGTTTATTTATAAGTTGTTTATTTCGTTTATAAGTTGTTTATTTCGCTTATATGGTTGTATACAGTCAGAGCAAAATTGTAGGCATTCGATGATGCAATTGCTGAATTGGATACATTGAACGAAGATTCATATAAGGACAGCACATTGATTATGCAGCTGCTTCGGGATAACTTGACTCTGTGGACATCAGATACAGCTGCGGATGAGCAAGAAGGCGGCGAGACGGCTGGTGAATCGGGAGGAAACTAAAATATTTTTTGTACTACAAATTTAGAATTAAAAAAGCTGGTTATTGGCTTGTTTCTTGTTTTTCTTCGTTTTTTGTCAAGTTCAAAATTGTCATTAAAAAATTATTCGATGCAATTCATGATGGTTTTCTTTTAGATTTTTATTTTCAATAAATGATCGTTTTGATATTAGACAAACATGCAAAAATCCTTAGCAAAACGGCTAGTCTAAATTATTTTTTTTAGTTTTTAAGTTAAGCTTCATTTATTTTAGTTCTTGCTTAATCATTTCTCCCAATGGAAAATTCTTTTGCTAGATGCGACCTCGTTGTGCTAAAAAATTTGCGTTTAATCAATTGATTGATGCTTTTCTGGATAGTCATGTAAAAGTTTCTTTTTTTTCGAGAGTTCCCTGTATTCCGTTTTTCCTCATGTAATTTGCATCTTTGCGTAATAATCTTGTTAAGTCGCATTGATCTGATAACTACTTTATCATTATCGAGATATGCCGTTAATGTTTTATAATGTCGCCAGATTATAAAATGAGGGGCATTATCGAGATGGTTGTTGAAAAAATACTTAAAATAGGGAAGTCGGCGGCATATAATATAAGCAGCATATGTATGAGTTTGTTTTTTTATTGGTACCGTATCGCTAATAAACTTTTTGGCTGTTTATCAGTTTTGAAGCAGAGAAATTGAACTCAAAATGTGGGAGGGGTGGTGGTGGCAGTCTTCTGTCAAGGTCGGTGTTTGTGAGGTTGAAATTAGATCGGAGGATGGAAATCGAAAGGTTTTTGAAGGACTTTGATACATAGAAGGTTCATGGGAGGTGAGGTTCCAGTTCTTATGTTCGGTGAATTAAGGCAGTGGTCTCGGCAATAGCGGCAGGAAATCGTCAAGGGGATTTGATTTGGCGTCTTACTGTAAAGAGCGCAAGTGAGCAGTGGAGGAATGAAGTAGTGGGTCGATTAGCCTAGAAGTGTCGAAAGTTTTGACAAAAATCTACTCAGTGAATAATTCTGCATTAGAGAGGCAAAAAATATTAGGGAGGTGAGTGCTCGCAGTCCTTGGTGGTATTCAGGCACCTTAAGAAGATGATGGTATGGGAAAGAAGAAACTATTAGAAGGAGGGCAATGACAGAATATTAATGCTAAATGTGAGTAGGAAAAAAAGAACTAAATTTTCGGCCGTAAAAAATGACCGCGGCCGCTTTCTCATTATTGCTTTTATATTTGCATTCATCGTCATTTGATTTTTGAGCGGATTGATTTGATAAATGTTTGTTAGTGATAAAGTTTGTTGATGGATTTGAAATGGTTATAGGAGATTTTATAGGAAAAAGTGGCGAAGAATTAAGCCGAAGAGTTCGGGAATGTTTCGGTTCTTCGGTCGCCTTCGTTCATTCCATCGGCAAATTCCAAATATTCTTCTAACGTATACTCGTAACATTGCTCGAATACCCCACTGGGAATATCATATAAGGTTAAATTCTTTTTTTTCATTCCATGCTTCTCCTACATCGAGGAATATTTGTTTTGCGAGTGCCGAAGAAGAGAGGATTTGTGTTCTGCGAGTGCTGAAGAGGAGAGGATTTATGTTTTGCGAGTGCTGAAGAGGAGAGGATTTATATTCTGCGAGTGCTAAAGAGGAGAGGATTTATGTTTTGCGAGTGCCGAAGAGGAGAGGAATTGTGTTTTGGGAGTGCCGAAGAAGAGAGGATTTGTGTTCTGCGAGTGCCGAAGGGGAAAGGATTTACATTCAGCGAGTGCTGAAGAGGATTTGTGTTTTGAACCCAGTGTCCAAGATTGTTTGAGTGTTTCACTGTCTGGATCATTTGCACCTTTTGTCTTGTGCATGTCCAGAACTGTTTGTGTCTTGTGTCCAGTATTTCTGGTTATATGTGAACAAAGATGGCAAATTTTTTATTTTTAGAGAAAAATTTTGAAAATAAACGTATTTTTTATTAAAAATAATGATTATCACAAATAAATTCAATATTTTGCGTCGATATATATGTTTAATTTAGTTAATCTCTTTCATGCGTTATCTGAAGATTGTTTTCTCCAATGAAAATCTCCATGAGTCCATTAATTATTTTTATCTTTATCAGCCTCTTCTATCATTTAATAGCGCTCTGCTAGCTCTTAGTGCTGCCCAGTAGGACTATTGTTGGATCGCCATTACCTCGTCATTACCTGGATTTCTTATTGATACATCCTGTCGAAAGAAGAGTTCCAACCTCTCATATTTATTATGTTTATCAATATTAATTCATTAATTTTTAGCATTTTATTGTACTTAATGGAAGATCAGAGGATTAATTAGCAAAAAAATTCATTTTTTTGCAGCCAATATCCCGCTATTGAGTAGCATAAATTTGAAGTAAATTTATTGCTAATTAAGCCGGGATAAATAAAATTTTCATCTGGAATAGGATTCATTCTGTTCAATTATGACTGAATTCCCTGAAGATGATTTACAAAAATATCGCTATTCTTGAAAATAGACTCGCTTAGCTAAAGTTGAATAAAAATTTTCGAATCTTCCAAGATATCCAACTTTAAATGCTTTCGCAATTAATTCATAAAAGCGATTTGAAAAATTAATATAACAAATTTTCTATTTTATTTGCTGCAATAAATTTTTCTCAACAATTTCAATAAACTTTAAAATATTTTTTTCAGATTTGATCCAAAAGAAGGACGAAAAAGGCCTGCACAAGACGTTTTAGATAGATTTAAAAGGTTAAACAGTGGTATGTGGATTCGTTGTGTTGCTGGTCGAAATAAACTGCGTTATGCAAAGAATGAAACTTTTCAAACGGTAATACTCTTTTGTTTTAAAGTATTTATTTCTTATCTAATTTTTATACTTTTTCATAAACATTTTTTTTTATTTATCAAATTTTGTGAACTTTTATGCTTAATTTTTTAATTAATTTTTTAATCTTTGATCAGATTACTAAAATTGGTTGATTTTTTCCTAAGAATGCTCACTGTTTCCGGCTAATTTCATTCTGGATCAGACAGATTTGCCAAAGAATCGCTTAGCGATAGAAGTACGGGTGGATCATCAGTACCACTCGAAATTTTTGAGGAACAAAAATTTACTTCTGGGAGCTGAGCTCGAGCGTTCTGAAATAAGAATGGCAACCAACTAAACCATTTTAGTTATTTACAAATCCGTGAATTGTTGATTAGGATTTCATTGAATTTTTTAAGAAATTTAACTTTTTTTTTATAATTTTCATTTTAAAATATTTTTAGAATTCAATTACTTTATAATTACTGTTAATTTGTAGGATTTTCTTGAAATTCTTTCTCATAAAATTTAGTTAAATTAACTTCGTATTTTAGACAAGTTTATATTATGAAACGTGTACAAAAGAACAATGTTTTATGCTTGATCGAATGATGACTCCATTTTGGTTGCGACCAAAATACTACGTAAATGATCCTTATGAGGCGCGTTTCTTTTTTTCTAATTAAAAATGTTTTTCTAATTAATAATGTTTTTCCAGTTCCAAGGATTTTTTGAAAATTATATATAAAAAGTTTGTCTAATAGTTTTTATTTAAAAATATCGCATTCATTTTAAGGTTGATTAATTGAATTAAATTAACGCAAATTTTCGCAAAAAAAGGTCGAGAAATGAAAACTTATGAGTGCGTTATTCAAATTTAACCGGAAATGGCGATTCTACATTTCCAGTTTTTATTAGTTTCTTTCAGCCTTATCACGTTCGTCATGGTCTTACGTCTGTTCGGACATCAAATGGCAAATTAAAACGTGAGCGGCCGAAGATCCTACTTGAAGACTGTATTGCCGATAAATATTTCTCACACAGATAGTACTTCGCATTTAGCTTGTTAAATCGTGAAATGGTGTAAAAAAAAAATCTTTTCATAATTAGAACGCAGTGAAATGCAAAAATTTTCTTCCGTGGTCCTCAATATTTTTTGGAATCAACTTTTTTCTGACTTTCTTGTGATGGCAAACTTGAAGAAGTTAATGTGCTTGTTGGTGTAGTACTCGAATTTGATGTTGACCTATCGTGTAGTGTAAACTTTGGATCTCCACTAAATGCCTTATCATATGATGTGGACTTTGGTTCTTCAGAAATTAATCTGCAAAATTAAACATTGGATTTGTGCAGTCTTTTGAACCTTTGGTAATTCATTTCAGTTAGCTACTTGAAATTCATTTCAGTTAGCTAGTCCTTGCTTTAAAGTAGCTATTTACTAGTAAAGTATTTATATAAAATGGAACCTTCCAGTCTCTTTTAAAAGTTCCGTTGCGATTACATCAATTGTAGGTCTTTCGTATATATTTTTGGCCCAAATTCGTTCACAAATTTCTTTTATCTTTGCTGGTGCCTGTACTGGTAATTGCAGTCGATATCCTTTATTCACCTAAATAGTTCAGTGATATTTTAAATCATTTATTTATTTTCTTGCATTTGTACCATTCTCGAGTTAGATAATTTTTTTTTGCTTGTGTTTGTCAATGATTTGATAAGAACTTAATTGTGATTTGATTTCTGCAGCTTTCCATCCTTTATAAGGTTCACTTGCATTTGTAAAAATTTCCCATATTAAAATTCCATAAGCCCATACATCGGCACTTTTGGTATAAATTAGCGTTCGAAATACCTGTTTGAAGAATTCATGCTTAATTTGGAATTAAATCGCAATTTTCCATGTGAATGAATATAGATAAATATATTTTGATAGAATAATGGAAGCCATTCAGTGCTCTCGCTGTATTGATTCAAAAATTATAATTTTACTTCAGGTGCAAGCCATTTCACTGGTGCTTTTTCGTTAGGATTTAGCTTACAACTGTCACCCTTTCTTGATAGTCCAAAATCGCTCAATTTTAGCACTTTATCATCATATAAACAATTGCGTGAAGCAATATCTCTAAATACAATCTATGTCAAATACCGTCTATAATAACACTTGCAGTTCTGGTTTGGCTTATTGTAATAAATATTTGGCTGAAACTATCTCGCAGAGAGATAATTGAGGATAGAAATGCTTTCCAGCATTGGCTAAACCATAAATAGCAGTTCACTGGTGTAGCTTATTTTGTCGAGGATAAAAATAACGGGGGAAAAGTAACGGGGTTGTTATTTGATGCATTTTTAATACATAAAAATTGCGTTCTCATCAAGAACTAGTAGTATTGCCCTAATTTTATACAGAATAGTTGGTCGGCAGATCTAGGAATTGGCCTGCATGAGAGACTCGAGCACCACAAGTACCTATGCATAATGCCTAATTTATGGACGTATTGGAGACCGAGTGCTGCATCACATGCCATGGACATTTTTGCTTGGATTGTTACACTGTTTCCTTTTGATAACAAGTAATTATTGAGTGCTCCACTCTAAAATATTTTTCCATAAAAATTTTCCAATAATTTATTTCAATTTAAAATAGGAGAAAAAAAATCAGCAAGAAGGCATTTAGCATCTTTATTGAGTTATTCCCTACCTCTTTCTTTAAGGGCATTTACCAGTGCTGGCTAGAAATCCGCTGGCTTGTCGGACTAGATAAATGTGACAGGAAATTTCTTAGCGATGAAAGTAGAAGTGAATCGCTAGCATTAACTAGGTTTTTAGACAGGTTTACTCATGCTGGGAGTAGAAAGTAGATTTCAGAATCGGTCCACTGGACCATTCTATTCTTTTTGCTTTTCTCCGTTAGGTGATAGTGTCGCCCGAAGAGTGGTCTTGGCGGATTCGATTTTAAGCCAAGCCTCGAATTCTCATTGGCAATTATTATATCTTTTATCTCCTATTTCTTAAACTTCTTAATAAGAGTAACTCTATTTTGTTCTTTAACGATGAGTTCAAGTATCATATATCCAGTCTCTGGTCTCTTGATGGGAGTTAGACTATCATGCCATCAAGCATCATGAATTTGACTCTCATTTCATTGTCTTTAAATTTCTTTTTAAATTTGACGCTTGAATTAGATTTAGATTTAAAAACGAAAATTATTCTTGAATGATTATTTTGGATTGTTGAGAAGGAAGAAGGAAAACCTTCATAAATTCCATGATAATCATGAGTGGTTCATGCTTATTTGCAACTCCGTAAAAGAGAACAATATTGGGATGTCTCATATTTCTCATCATTCTTGCTTCTGTCATCATTTCATCTATTTTTTCTTTATTTAATGTACCACATTTTAGCTGAAAACAGTGGTTCTTTATCATTTTATTCATTTGAAAGAAGTAGAAATAAATTGGTATTAAAAATGAAATCCGAATGGTGGTGAGGATCCATCTTTAATTCTTGTAGCCATTTGGATTTCACCACTAATGACAGGCTTACACCTATTTCCCAGGTTTGCTTTCATCATGAGGTAGCAATCGAAATAATGCTTACTTAGTAATTTAACAAGAAAATAAGGATTTCTCGGCAATTTCCTTCAGCGTTTTCATTAAGAATACATGAAAAAAAAATTGCAATACCAGTTTAACAGCGGCTTCGACAGTGAATGTTGGTGTAAGGCTCAATTGTCCATAATGAACTTCACCAAATGCTCCTTCACCTAATTTCTTTATCAGTTTTATTTGCGAATGTTTCAATTCCCAAATCTAAAAATTTTTTCATCCGATTTTTCCCATCAACACTTTTATAACCAAAAATTTTTAATTTGATGTTTTTCTTGACACCTTTCACCATTTTTAGTCTCTCCACTGGCTAGAGAGTTACTTGGTAATAGAACTGTCCCAACCTGGATTTGCTCGGATTTTTTATTGACAAATTTACCAAGAGTGCCAAGAGTGAGAGGACAAAGCATGAAAGCATGATGCTTGATTTTTAATTTATTTTCGATTATCGGCTATTTCTTTGTTCACTTACTTAATCGAGATTTTCTTGATTTTTTATAGAAATTTATAAAAATTTATTTAATTCAGTTTACCTGTGTAAGAATTGGATTTTTTAGGAGGGCTTTTATATTTTCAATTGGTATCGTTTCTTTTCTATAATAATTGACAAGAGCTGATAATGATGAAAACATTTTGGTGGGATCAATTCCATATTTTCCGTCTTTCTCTCGTATAATGACGTGATGAGGATAGCGATTCCAACGTATCGATAAACATAGCTTTAAAGATTTAGATAAAAATATTTACGATTAAATTTAATCAAATGAGATAAGTGATTAGCTCTCATCATTGCCGGTTACTCTTTCCACTGGCTGTTGAAAATTTCTGCTGGGAAGCGGCTACTTAGGAATAGAAATAGAGGTGGATTTTTCAACGATAGATTTGTTCGCGCAGGAGAACATAGCAAATTCATAGGCTGAACAAGTCGTTCAGCCATCCTATCTCCAGCTTGAATTCATTTATCAAGAAACATTCAATTCATTTTTGAATTGCAATGGAATAAAATTAAGTTTAAGAAGAAAAATAAGGTGGTGAATGATTAAAATAGTAAGTGGTTAGCCTCGTTAGACTAGTTCCATTGGTTGTTAGTTCGGTGAAAATTCTTGCCTCCCAACGATAATCATCCACTCTCTTTTATTCTCTCTAATTGAAATGAACTGGTTAATTAATTAAAAATAATATAAATCATAATAATAATAATTCATAATTGAACTGTTCGTTTATCGCCGGAAGCAATTTCAGTTGTTCGTAAAAGGAAATCACCATCTAATGTGATAAGAGAATTTGCATCATTACGTGGTAAAAATCTGAAAAAAAAATTTTCACACCACTAAGAAGAAATTTAGTGTTTTTAGATTCTTTTTTTTTTCGAAGAACATCTCATCTCATTTTCTGGTTTGATTTGCTTTATTGACAAGGATGAGATATTCTCGCCAGAAACTACGACTCCGTTCCTCGTACCACTCGAAATTGGTTCGACTAATTACCAAGCATTTCATGCGACAAGAGTGGGAGTCGCAAATTAGCATAAATTACTAGTAATTGCTAATCAAATTCGGCCAAATAACTTTAAATGTAAAATGTAAAATTGTGGATAATATTTTAAAGTTTTAAATGATATAAATATGAATTTTTAATAATTTTGCAAATTCTGAAGCAAATTCAATAAAAGCGATTTTCTAATTTTACGAAGCAATCATTCATAAAATGGCTAAAAGGAGGGCGGCGAACCCGTGGTAATAGCTTTCCGCTTCGAGGGGTGTCAGCTTTGGTTGAACGGAATCCGACATTTTATTTATTTTATTAAGATCGTCTTCGGCCATTTTTGGTTTTTCTCGTCGAGTATCCTTTGGAATCTTCAAATTAGCAATCTTTTATTTAAAGATTTTGAACAAGAATAATCAAGCAGAATGAATAAAAAGCCATGCTTTTATCGAAGATTTTTGGTTCTTCAGCCTCCTACGCACCCCCCCCCCCACCCTCTTTCCCCTGTCGTTCATTTTTGAGGCAAAAAGTGGAAATTTTTTGGAAAAATCTTGGCAACTAATTAACATCAACGCAAATACAAATACAAATACAAATATTAAAAATTACATTTATTATTTAACTGAAGCAAAAATACAAATTAAAATTACGTTAATAAGTATCGCCCACATAGATTTTAATCCACATTACTGATAAAATTCGTATTAGTTGAAAACCCATGAAATATCAAAAATCAAAAGATTTCAACCTTTTTATGCACCTTGCTGGCTTGCAGAGGCGAGTCATTTGAACTCTGAAATTCATGAATTTGCAGACATGGGCTCTCACTTAACTTTGTTGAAATATATGAGGTTTTTCTTGGATTCTATGGGCTCCTTCTTTTAACAGTTTTAAAAAATGAAAAATAAAATAAAAATGGAAAATAAAAATGGAAATGGAAAATATAGTAGGTTTTATTTTCAATGGGAAATTAATGTGATAAGAAAATACCAGTGATTTCTGTCAATGACGACCATATTCTCGTGTACTGCTGATATTATTATGGCTCGTTAAAGTACCAAGTGTATGGCTGGGAAACATAGAGTGGAAGATATCTTAGCTAATATCTGCATTTGACCATTTTTGCCCAAGCTATATCTCCGTATTTGCTACGCGGATTGAATCACATATGGTTGCATTCAGGCCTCGCTTGAATACCATTTGCATTAAGAATATCGCCACAAAACATTAAGCTCCAGTCAGGCAGAATTCTTTATCTATCACAAGAATTGACACATGTTTATTTACTTGTTAACCCATGTCATAGATGGTCAGAAACAAGGAGAACCAATTGGCCGACAGGAAAGATTTTGAATGCAAAAGGGGAAGGAAGCAAGGATCACACTAGATAAGATTTAAGGTGCAAAAAACTATGCAAAAAAGCCTCAGAAATTATCCAACATATGGCAGTAGGATGTAAGATGCAAGCAGGAACAGCGTATATTGAAAAGCATAACCAAGTGGCTGCATTTTTTACAAGAATATATTTCTTACCTTACCTTCCCAAGACCAGGGATATTCTTTAGAAAATCGCGAATAATAAGGCCAGGATCCTATGCGACTTCCCTATCCAAATAAACAAACAAGCACTGGCCAATCAACCAGATATTTTGCTAACAGACAAGAACCAAAAACCAGTACTTATAATTGAAACAGCCAAGAAGTTAAAGAAATACCAGAAACTGAAAATAACTAGAGAAGATATGGAAAGTGAAAGCCAGAGTGGTCTCAGTGGTGGTGGAAACATTAGCGTCCCACAACATATTTTAAACTGGAAAAGTGGCTCCAACAATACAGTCGAGCTTCCATTCCTCTGGTCCTGAGATTGCATTTAACGTTGGGGATAACCCCCAAAAAAGGATTTTTTATATTTATATGCACCAATCAAAAAATTTATGCGACTTTACGACTTTATTATGATAATAAAGAATGGTTTCGTTGAGAAATTTGCGCAGTCGAAAGCTTCCATAACGTAAAAATTAGGATCCTATTTCTATTTTTAGTAAAAGATCCTATTTTTTACTAAAATAGGATATGGCTTTGTGGTTGCGAGAAAGTACATTATGGAATCACGATGATTGAAATGTCAGCTAAGGCCAAATATTCGACTTCAATACTTTGATGGAAGTACCATTGAAGACTAGAACTGAAATCGAGGTGGTGTCGAGGAATTCATTCACTCGTACCTCAACCCTAAGCTAATTCAGACAAACATGCATGGCATGAGCAGTGCATGAAGAAGCCAAACCAGAAACGATACATAAGACGAAGAAAGTCTTTTAAATACCCAGAAAACCTTCTTTGAATTAGATTTTCAAATATTTTTGCTGTTTTTTTTAAAAAATTATAAATATAATTGAAGGAAGCGATGTGAAGTACCACTGCGACCAGTAAATCCACCAATAATTTCTCGCCTTACCTTAGTTCGTTCCGAAGTTCGCCCATTCCTTTCCTTTGCCTTATCCGTCATTTTATAATTCTCTTCACTTTACAGATATCGCCAGTTTGAACTGCCAATATATTGAAAAATTTTCTAAAATATTTAATTTCTTCAAATGGTGCTTCCTTCTCTCTTTTGCTGTAAAAAGGTGAAAAGGCAGATTTCACCAAAACTCTCAAAACAATCCACAATTTTATCGCCGAATGAATTCGTTGCCTTTCAGCAGAATGCGTTGCTTTTAGGAGATTTTAGGGGACCCTCGTAGGCAATAAAAAAATCAAATTTGAATTAAATTAAATTCAAAGGTATTAATAATATAAAGGAAAAATTTGAAAGGAAAATAAGGAATTTTAAATTTAAAAAATTTATAAAAAATTAAAATTTAAGTGAAATTTTGTAACCAACCAATTCGCTTAAATAAAGTTTTGAAATAAAATTAGTTTAAATTTATGAAAATAAATAAAATAAATTTCTGCAAATTAATTATTCAATATATTTATTATTATTATTATTATAAATTTTTAAAATTTTATTTCAATATATTTATTATTATTGTTATAAATTTGTAAAATTTTATTTATTTTGCGCTTTATAAATTAAATAAATTAAAAAATAAATTAGCGATCACAAGTAATGCTTTGTTAAAATTTCGCTGATTGTTGGAAATTTTTGCAAAATAATCTTTGATAATTTGAATCACTATGTATCAGCCAGTCGGCTATCCTAACCCTCGCATTATTTTACAAATTAAAAAATTTTATTTTATTTTTTTGGACTATTAGTTTTCAATCCAAATAAAATCGGAAATTATATCCGATAATTAATTCAATTTTTCAATTTTTTAAAAATCAAATCCAATTATTTTGTTATTTCAACGACCCCCTCATCCAGTTCATTCCGTCCAAGTGGTTTTAGCCAAATGCATGCATTGCCGGATTTGGATAGGCCAGGTGATATCTAATAGGCTGTTGCGGTACGCGCCATTGTCCAGCCATAAATTCCGCATAGTACGATAGGATTGAACTGTTGCGTTGATCTATATTATTGTGCTGCAATATGTTAATTTCGTTATTGGTGATCACCAGTGATGTGTTTGGTTCCTCGTTGTAAAACGACTGAATATTTATTTGTGGTTCTTTTGTGGGTGATAGACCAGGTCGATTGGCAGGTCTTGAGGTTAATTCAAATAATGGATCAAAAGGTCAGGTCGTAGATCAATAAGATTTCAATATTTCAATAAGATAAATGTTCATTAAAACTTATATCTGAGTGGTTCGTTTCTTATTTCTGTGCATCTTAGCCATTCTTTAGCGAAGCCTGAAATTAATTTTCTAATTAACCAAATAAAAAGTACTTCTTTTCTTTCTTTTAAACAACTTTTTATAGTATAAGAAATTTTTCGCTATTTTTTCATTATTTCGCTCTTCCGCGCGATTTTGTCGGAGATTATTTTGTTTCTAAAAGAAGAATAATATTTCAGAAAGGAATTAACTATGAAGAAATCGAGCGATGTCGATGTCTTATTCGAGATTCGAAATAATTATCTCTTGGGTGCTTATCAAAAATGTATCAACGGAGCGCAGGTGATTTGTTGCTTCAACATTTAAATGTGGACGAGGAAGGGTTAAGTGGTATAATGATAATAGTGATAACAATAATATTTCATGCCTTTAAGCATAAAGGGCAGAAAAGTCTGCACAAGACATGTCATTTCAAGCACCGAGTTGGGAATTCTGGGAATCACTCGTACTTCCATCCCCAAATGGATATCTTACAGAAGACTTTTACCTTAATAGGGAATAGAAAGCAAAGATGAGAGTATTATTAGAAGGAAGAAAATGTGAATAAGGCATCAAATCAAGGATTGGAGGTTCAGCGTTATGCATTTCTTCTTTTCTTCTTTTTTTTGCCCTCCTAGAATCTTCATTTTTACAAGTTTTTTTTACATTTTTCATTTTTAGGGAAAAAATTTAAAATTAAAATTATTATTATTACTATTATTATTATAGCAATTACAAGTAAAATCCGAAGACGATAAAACAGCGAGAGATGTGTATATGTATCGAGCATATATTGCACAAAATAAATTTTCGATAGTTTTAAACGAAATTAACGTATACAATGCTGAAAGTTCACTAAAAGCCGTACGACGATTAGCTGAATATTTATCTTCTTCATCAAACCGGTTAATTTAGCTTTTATCTATTTATTTTTAAAAATGCCTAGTTTAAAAATTTGAATCTAACTTTTCGAGTCTCTAAAATTTCTTTTTTTAGGTCAAAAGTTGTAAAGGAAATTGAAATGGAACTTGATTCTGGTGCAGTAAACGATGATAATGTTTTTCTTATGGCTGCGTTCATCTATATGCACGAAAATGTTTGTAATTTTGTCATTAATTACACGTCTCATTATTTTGTAACACTTACATATAGATTCACTATTCAAAATATTTGCATTTAATATTTTTAATGAACAAAAATTATTTGAAATTAATATTAATATTTATTTGAATTTTAAATTTAAATTTATCATGAAATATTATTTGATTATTTATAGTGTTGTATTATTTTTAGAAAAAATATTTATAATATAGAATTTGATGTCGTATTTAAATTTTTTATTTGTAGATTGCACAATTAATTAATTATCCAGCTGTAATAAAATTCTTCTATAACTATGATTTTAGAATGTCGAAGCAGCCTTGAAAGTTTTGCACCAAAGTCAGACGTTGGAATGTCAGGCAGCCACAGTTCAGTGTTTATTGCAATTGGACCGAGTCGATTTGGCTTTAAAGGAAGTTAAAAAGATGCAAGATGAAGATGAAGATGCAACTATCACACAGCTTGCTCTTGCTTGGGTTAATATGGCTGCGGTAACTTTTTTCCTGATTTCGTACATGTTTATTGTTTATAATAAATATATTATAGATTTATCTTTTATCATTTGAAATAAATCTCATCGTCACATTTTTCGTTTTAAGTCATCTCCTATCGCTTATCTTTGCTTATTTTTTTAAAAAAATTTTAATTTTCAGATTTCTCTAAATTTTTTCTTTATCTCTATTTCTCCTACTAATATTTTTAAGGGAAAGGACAAATTAAAAGATGCTTTCTATATATTTCAAGAAATGATTGATAAATATGGAGCAACACCTCTCTTACTTGTTGCACAAGCATCTTGCCTTATTCAACAACAGAAATATGGTGAAGCTGAGAGCCTTCTTTTGGTAAGTTCAAATTTAAGCGATTTTATTTCTTACAAATTATAAAAGGTTAATGAACTAGCTAATATAATTTAATATTTTTTCAACCAATCAATGGATCATTCGTTTTTGTTTTCATTTGACCATTCTCTTAGGATGCACAACAAAGAGACAGTAATTATGCTGAAGCTCTTATTAATTTAATTGTTGTAAGCCAGTTCCTCGGCAGAACATCGGAGGTTCGTTTCTGTTTTATTTTTCATATATTTAAACCGAGTGATTATCGTCGCTTATTTTTCATAAATTAATGCTGATTGTTTTTCAATAAAGTGGATAATTTTAGCCATTCCAATACATTATAACGATAAAATAAGCTAACCTTTACTTATAGGTTACCAACCGATATATTAATCAAATGAAAGAAGATCATCCGAATCACCGGTGGACAGTAGATTATGGAATGAAGGAGCAAATGTTCGATAAAATTGTTTTGGAGGCACAATAAATTAACGAAAAGTGCAGAGATCATATAGCTTTGACTATAGATTGTTTCAAATACTTTATTATTTATTATCTTCATTATAATTTGTATGCATATCATATATTTATTTTTTCTTTTTATTCATAATAGCGATGTAATATTAATCTTTCAAAGACCTGTGAATACAGTGTTAATTTTTCTATTATTGGTGAATGTTTAATAAATCGGTCAAATAAATATTTTTCTAAAACGGATTTTTAATTAATAATTTTCGCTATCGTAAAAGGCCAGGTCGTTTATATAGTATTATTATGCATTTTCTATGTTGTCCCATTCAGTAATGCGCACGATTAACTACTTAAAAAACATTTAAAACATTACATGCTTTATAAATTCATTAAAATGAAGTCCATGTTAAAGCGATGAATTTGATGAAGATTTTAGAGATGGTGATTCCAAGTTTAAGGATGCCCAAAAACCCGTCAAGAATTGAAACTTAAAATTGATGGGGATTTTCTGGTTCGGTAATCGAAACAAATGTTACGAAAAACACCGAATGAAATCCGAGCAAACAGATTATGCCAATCGAACAGTATTTAGTTGCCTACTATGGAGCGGTCAAATAAATCTCGGTTTGTATAAACTTGAAGTTTACCGAAATTTTTTAATGGTTACCAATTTATGCATACAATCATTCCGATTTCCGTCTATTTAGACTTCCTATAAAACTGTTTGCTGGAAAAAAATTCCTTCCTTTTTCATTTCTTCTTTTCTTTCGAAACAAAAATATAAAAAATACAGCCTTGAAGAATATTCCAAATTCAAGCTTCTGCAAAAAAAAAAAAATTCGTCAACTCTTTTTCTAGATGGGAAAAAGTTAAAGGAAACGGCAACTTTTATATATATATTTGCAATAATTTTCAAATCATGATAATTATTAATAATTATTCCAAATCTGATGAGAAAGTGAAAAATAGAAAAATGAGATTATTTTTCCAATATGGAAAGATATAAAATTTTCTGATAAAACATGAAAATGCAAATCGGCGTCGGATAAGTCTGTAATAGATTAAAGCTAATTTTTCAAGAATGTACGGATGACTTATTATGAATGCTAACAAGTCGACTAGTAAGTTCGATAATTAATAAAATAAGGAACAGCCATAGTGGTGCCATTATCCATAACGTTGGAACAGTGCCCGATTCCAGTCGAATGCACAAAAGTATTTCAAAAAGTGCTTTTAGAAGAATTAACACTGAAAGGTAATAAATGTACTGTATTTTAATTGAATGATAAATAAATTTGTAAATAAACAATTTTATCCATTCAAAAAATAATAAAGTAATTACTTTAAATAAATATAAAATTAAGCAAATCGAGTCTTTTTTAAAATAAGAATAATAAAAAATAAATAAAAAAGAAACCCGTTGCAATTATACATTGTCGTTTATCAAGTGGAAAATTCCAGCTTGTAACAATATTCGAATCAAGCGATCGTCTTCCAACTCCAAATAAATGATAGTGACGTATAATTTTAAATGCAATAAATATTAAAGATACCCCATCGAAGAACAAAAGACTGATGAAAAGTACAAGCGGTTCACCGTCAAGACCTCCATCCTTCAAAGGATCATTGTAAACCACATTAAATGGCTCACCAAAACAATCAAAATATATGCTACAAAAAGAAACAATAATAGAATAAACCAAATTATTCCATCAGAAAATAAAAGTATTGCTCTATTTTTTTCCTACAGAAAAGCGTAACATCGACAAAATTTGTAATCTTCAAATTAAAATCCAAGGTTTCATTTTTTCTCAAATAATTTAAACATTAGCGATAACACTATTGTTTTTATTCTACTTTTTATTTTTTATTCAGCGAAATCACCAGAGTTGAAGAAAGAAATTTGACTATAATCAGAATATTGTTCCTCTCTCCAGAATATTGTTCTTTACCGAAATTATAAGAACCTTTTATGCTGTTAATGCACCAATAATGAAAAAAAAAATATACCAAATAAACAACTAAAGATACCAACGTCAACAACAATAGTACCCAAGCAAATATCGCTCGATGACCGATACCCATCATATTAGACAAGTAACCGATATCATCCTTCGCCGCTCATGAAATCTAAAACAAATCTGATAAGAATTATTGTTAAAAAACTCAACAATTACCATCTGATGTAAATGACATCGTCGATGACACAAACGATATTCGACACGTATTTATTGCACCGTAGTAGGAACCACCATAGCCAAAAAATGTCTCACCACCTGAAAAAAAAACTGTTGGACTTAGTCGAATATCTGTTGAACCAGAAAATCGTTGAACACGAAATCCTTAAAGCAGAAATTTAAAAGAAATTGTTTAAATGAAAATTTTACGATTTTCCTAAAAATAGATAAAAGCATCGAATTATCGAAGAGATAATATTCTCTCTCTTCCGCGATTAAATTAAAACAGAAATTCAGAAATTAATTAATAAGAAATAAATTTTTTTTTTTTAAATATTTCAAAATTGATAAAAGAATCACAACAAAAGCACAAAAGCACATCATTTAATTATTTCCATCATTTTATTATGATTCATGATTTAGCAATTATAATATGAATAAGGTTCGTAAATTCAATTCAGAAATATAAGAAAAAAGAAAAATTATACAATCATCACAAATCAAACGGAATGGTGTAAGAAGAAAACGCTATGATCACAAACACTACAATAGAATACTATAATATTAATAAAAAAAAGTTGATTAATCATGCAAAATTCCTTTTTTCAAATTAAACAACTGATAACTACCAACAAAATAAAAAATATGTGAAATTAATCAACTTTTTGACAAATTTTCACAACCAGAAAAGGCACTGAATTGAGTTTTTTTTGAAACAGATTTTCTGATAAAAATTCAGCGTAATCTGCCTATTTTCAAATTTTATTTATTTACATAACTACAATAATTATACAATTATATTTTTACACTACATCTTTCAGAAATGAAACTATTCTATATCTAATTTGTTATTCCATTGAAAGATTGAATTTTTAAATTGAATTCGTTAAGATCGAGGATTGATTACTGTATAGTTAAAAGCAACTTCTTCACTATTCTTAGATAGATCATTTCCTGAACTTCCATCACCTTGAAAATTAAAACAGGCATATTCAAGCTTCAAACTGTCAGCTGAATGTTTCAGCGGATTTGATGATGGTAATAACAATGGTTGAATTATTTTTGATGAAACTGCGCTCTGATCGATGAACGCTTTTGTAGGATTCGAAAAAAACTGAAAAAGAATTTTTCAATTAATAATAAAATCCGTTATAAAATAAAAAATAACAAAAAACAAAAAAATTCTAAAATAACAAGAGCTAACGAATCGAATTTTGTTATGAATTAATTAATTTCTTTCTAAAAAAATTAATTAAATCAGAATAAACAAAAATGTTAATGCAATAATTATATAATTGATTGACACCATCTATATAATCTTTGACAGTAATATAAATATTACCTCAGAATGACTGCTCGAATTTTCAAATTGGTTAATTGGATTCACAGCGTTATTATTCAGTTGATGAGATGCCCTAATGCAATTTTTGTCATCAGAAAATTTTGGGGACTGTGATCTGAATGAAGCTTTTAAATTTATAGATCATCAGGTATACTATAAATCAAATTTGTTCGATTCAACACAAAATCTTAAGAACACCAACCGACTTGACCCACTTGAGATATTTTGTTCATGGATTGTACCAATGATGCGCGATTTGCTTGAGGAATCAACTGAAGATGAAGAATGATAAATGGTATCACTTTTTTCTTTTTCTGGAGCGGTATGTAATATATAATCGCCGACAAGATTTAGCACTGTATCCACTGGTCTCTGAATAATTCTGTTTTTAATTCTTCAAATCCGCAAAAAAACAAAGTAGAAAAAATAAATGAATTTGTTCTTTCTTTGACAGTATCTTTCCTTGAAAAATTTGGATTCTAAAAGAATTACACAGATTACAGCTAAAAGCGGCTGCTAAAGGGACTAATGATCCATTTTTTTATTCCAATAAATTTATTTTTAATAAGAATAAAATGGTGCCAATGATCATATCATATTTTAATTTGACATTGGTATTTAAAACGAAATCAGAAACCGAATCAATACATTCAATAACTACAAAGACCAGAAAAAAATAAAAAAAAAATAGTAAGAAAAGATCTGCAAGTACCTCAAACATATATTCAGCTCGAGACCGATCCACCAAATATTTTTCCGCCTTATCACGACGATTTTTACGCACTTCTTCGGCAGCAATCCTTATTAAAGAAGATCCATTAACCCCAAAAGAACTTGTACGAGAATTGCTTGAACTATCAGCGGAAGCGATCGAACCACTAGCACTTCGTCCAATTGCAGCTACAAAGTTACTTTGAATTCATGCAACACTACTATGGTAACTAGGAAGATTTAAAATTTTTGATACAAATTTCTTCACAGTACATATAAGGAAATTTTGGAAAATCTTGAAAAAAAAATTGCAAAAAATTCTATAAAAACTTCCATCATAAACGATTCATAATTAATGTTCCATTCTTCTCGAATAAATTCTTATCAATATTACGATGAAAAATGTGTGAACTGGAAAAATGGAAGAATTCACTAACCAGAAAAATCCCATTCAGCAAGATCATTCTTCTGCTTCCTTTCTTCTTGCACATGTAACCGAGAATCTTTTCGTATTTCTTTGGCTAAATCAGGAATCCTTGTTTCTTCTGCTGAATTAACTTCAGTATCTCAACAACAAAATTTAAAAATAAAAAATAGTACTAAAATTTTTTTGTATAAACATCAAAAACTATCAATACATCAGAATTTCTATTTACTTTATCCAGAGCTCAGAGTGAATGAAGTTTGGAGAATGTTGAGCAAACTCAATCTACTCCAGACGAAAATCTTGCTAAGATCGATTTCACTGGAATCTCACCACCTCTTCAGCCAATTTCGACACTTTAGTGTTTGTGAAATGAGTTTAATAAAGATAAAAATTTGTTTTCGACGAAATAAAAATTGGTTATTTCAGATAGTTCAGATGAAATTTCTCAACGATATATGCGATTTATGTTTATATATGAGTCCATACATAAACTCATGCCTGCGTCTTTCATATAACTGATAAGAATTTTGCAATATTTTTATCCAGAGTAAACTGAATTTGTTTAATATTGCCGACTGATACACGAGCTCGATTAAGTAAATAAATTTATGAATATGTAGTCCCGGATACTTGATCTTTTGAAGAATTAGCCAAAAAAACTCTTACCTGCTGATGATCCAAAACTATCAGCACGTTTTCGTGCAAATGAATCTGAATAGTCGATGTCCACATTAGAATTGCGTATCCCAGCTTTCTTGAATGGTTTTAACCTAAAAAATTGATCTTCAACATAAAACCAAAAATAAAACAATAGCAATAGATTCATTTAAATATTTAATTCATTTTGAATTAAGATACGACGAAATCTCAAATAATTAAAATAATTGATAATTGATGTGCTAGACAAATGGCTTACCACGATTTACTACCGAGAGAATGAGCCCTTGTTCGTGTATCGTCATACCGCTTAACAAGTGATTCCTCAATGATCTCCGTATTAACTTCGCTTTCATTCAACTTTGAAAATGGAACAGAGAAAATCTGATGCAAAGGCCGAGAACCAAGCGAATAAGCTCGATGATTAACAATATATGCTGCAATTACCATCAAGAATGATTAAGAGTAAAAGAACCAAAAAAATCAGTCGTAAATAATATTCAAAATAGCCTGTAAACCTTCAGAAGCTGAAGCTGATCGGTTTGAAAATTTTCCAGATTGACAACTATCGGTACTATCCGAAACAAACGAATGTACTTCCACTAGATTAAAATCTGGATCTGCTGTAAGCATTTTTCTTAATTTCATATAATAATCTAATTTCATGAAATAAATCGCTTAACATTATTAGCTATGTCATTTCCATTGAAAAAAAATTAATTATTTTTAATTTACGAATATCTTTTCATAACAGAAGTTACTAAGATGTAATATTAAGTTAAACTAAAATCATACAAATAACAGTTTGTGGATGGGAGCAGTCTTGAGAACACTCCATATTCGTGTATTCCTCGCTAATTGAGAAATCTTCATTCATCAGGGACTTAGTTGTACCTATAATGACAAAATAAAATTTTCAAGAATTATATTTGAAAAATAATAAAATTAATAAAAATAAAAAAACAAAACAAAAAAGTGGAATGAAATGAAAATAATGAAGATACAAAATAAGAAAGTGAAGATTAATTCAAAATATTATTTCTGATAAAAATTTGCATTGACCAAAAATTCATTTCGTTTTATTATTTAATGATTTCATTATATCCAAAATTTGAAAATCATACAATTCGAAGAGGAGATTTTGTTAGAAATGTTAATATCATTAGAAGCAATTTTTAGTGATGAGCCTATAACATAATCACTTCCCATCAAAGCTGGCGAAGTTCCCTTTTCTAAATATTTTGAATTTAAAAATTTGAAAATTTGAAATTTGAAAATTCGATTTGAAAATTTAAAACAAAATGGCACAGCAATTCAATTCAAAAAATTCAAGAAAATTCAAGAAAAAAATATTGAAAAATATCTGAATGTATCAAGAAAAATTACCGGGAAATTCCAAATCGATTTGTTCTTCATCACCAATGTACATTATGGTACCACCACTCGATTCTTCTGCTTCTTCTTTTAAGCTCTCAACGACATTGAGAAATGAATTTAAGCACAGCGTATCTTGGTCATGAGAAGAAATTTTTTGGTCTGATTTGCAAACTATACGCTTTGATACATCAATATTTTCTTGAACATGTTCAACTTTTAATGGTGCTAAACTAAAATATACAATTTATAAAATATGTAGAAAAGAAAAATTTACGAAAATTTTTTGCTTAAAATCCATAAATTCATTTTGTTTCAATCTTTATTTAAATATTTCCAATTTACTGTAAATTAAGGATCAAAATATTTTTAATCGGTGTAAAATAAATATTATGTAAATAAATGTATAACTAAAACATTATGCTAATTTTCCGACTTCCTGGCAAATTTTGAAATCCAACAATTACTGTAAGAAATTTTCATATATTCATTCCATTAATAAAATAAAAAATATAAGAACAAATGACCTCTTGCTGTGAAATACATTTGATCCAACGCTATATGAACGACTGTTTAACATATGCATCATTTCATTAGGAGTGGCAGATGAGATGGGTACAACCGAACCGCAGCAACTTGAAGATGATGTTTTACGAAAATTATTTTGCGAGGACGTAAACCTTTAATAAAGTATTTTTAGTTACCAGAAGTTAGAAAACGAAAAACGGTAAAAGATATTGAAAAGTATTAAAACATTCTTGAAATTCTTTTGAAATTCTAAAATCAATCTTAATTCTTTATTCTTTAGAAGATATTGAATATCAAACAGCGAACTGACTTAATATCTTCCGAAAATAATTTCAGTTTCCATCTAAATCGAACCAAATTAATATGATATTTTAAAAAATATAGTTTCTGTTACCAATTAAATTCAATGTAATTTATTTTTTCATTCAAAGATATAATCATAAAATTTAACAAAGCAAAAATACTTCGAAATATCAACTTGTGATTGGTGAGTTGTGTGGGACCTTTCCCGATGTCCATGATTACGCATTGTGCGATTACTAATTGACATCCTGCAACAACGAAGCAAATAAATAAAAATTTATAAAAAAAAACTATTATGAAAACGAATTAAAAATGAAATCGAATGAATAAAAAATAAGGGAATAAATTTTCCGAAAAAAAATGGAAAAATCAAAATAAAAAGATAAATTTTTATTTTTATGAACCAAAAATATTGGATAAATTATGAATAAATAAAGTAATAAAATAAATTTACATAATTCTGTAATACCACGGCCAAATCACAATTACACTTGCTCCACTAACTATGGATACAGGAATTTTTATAAGAAACCATTTGGCGACAAAAGTAAAGGTAGGTCTTCAATACAACTTGGATTTTTTTAATGCCAATTTTATTTCTTTGATTAAAATCATTGCTTTTTAACATAATCTGAGCCACTCTGCTATTCATAAACTACTAAGAGAAAGATATGAATTGAACTGAAGTTTAAAAAGGAAAAGAAGTACAAAACATGAAAAACATACAATCGTGTTCCATGCGCTCTTCTCTTTTCGCTTTCACGTTCACAAATATTGTTAATTTTCTCATAGATAAGATATGCATATTCACCATTTTCTGTTGCGCACCACAATTCACCAGAACCAGTTGGTGCACATCGACCAACACGAAAAAAGAAATATTTCTCCTGTCTACCGAAATTCGAAACCGTATTCATCTGAAAAGAAAAGGATTAAAAAAATAGAACAAAATTTGCTAAATTTGAAATGCTAATTTTTCAAAACTTCGAATAGCGCTCAACATTTCCCGTCTGGCTTGCCCCATTAGCTGTTAGGATGAAATTTCTTTGTCAGAAAGTCATTCTGGGACAGAAGTAGAGCATATAAGTACTACTCCAAAGGAAAAAATATTAATAAAACTAATATTAATCCAAAAATGGGACGAAATTGTCGTCGCATAATATGTGACGATAAATTATGAATAATCTGGCAACAAATAATGGTTAATATTCATTATTCATTATTCAAAACTTCTATTATCAAATTATTTAGAAGCAATTTAGACAATTTAGAAGTTGCAATTTAGAAATTATCAAATTATAAACAGCAAAAATATTATTCTTCCAAATTTTATTTTGTATTATTGCGTAATTTACTAATTAAAAAATTACATTGTATGCATAATTGTTATATGCATAACAATTCAAATTATGGATTATAAAAATCCGAGCAAAGATTGAGTTAAACTAATTCGACAATTTTTTATTCAAATAAATGCTCACCGGAAATTCCATAAAATCCTCACTTTTGAAAGGAGGAATTGTACTTTCGCAAGCAACAATACCTTTTTTTACCACTAATAAGCTATGTGGATATACACACAACCTTAAAAATGAATTTCAATACATGATATTTTTTGAACTTGGCGATTAGGAGGCCCCACAAGTGCAAATAGAGAAAACTAATTTTTATATCGAAAATGAATAGAAATTTTTCTAAAATATTCCAAATTTCAAAATAATTTTAAAATAATATTTATTTATAATTCATTATTCATAAGCGAAAAATAATTCATAATTTTTGGCAAATAAACAATGTAAAAAATTAAAGCAAAGAAAAACTTATTAAAAATTCATTTAAAATGATTCCATTTCAATGAATAATTAATTTTACCTCCTTTTTCCAATTAAACGATGCCGATATTCAACATTTGAAGCCAAATCATCGATTTTTTCTTCATCTTTCTTCTTTTTCTTCAACTTTGGCAATCTCAGAACTTCTACATCCCAGGCAACCTAAAATATTTAGCATTTTTTAAACTAAAAATACATATAAATTAACAAGAGGAATATCATTGAAGCAATTTTCAGTGATGAATCTACCTCAAAATATTCTTCACGAAAAACTGGTCGACCCAAGGCAGTAGCACGAGCCCCACGTGCCTTATCTATTATATCTGACCACCATTCACTGAGAATTTCCGTTGGCGATTCAGGTCGTAATAAAAATGTTTCATCGGGAAGCATCAACGATATACATTCTTTTAATAAAACATCTGTCTAAACAGATCGTACAAATGAAATTAATAATAAGTAAACAACTATTAAATTTTATAATTGAATATAATTAAATTTTGGTATATTTTTAAAATTACAATTTAAATTACAAATTATAATTAGTTGCACTATCATAATTATATTAATTATATTATTATAACCCATAGTATACAACATATCTTCCAGCAGTCAATCCACCTAAAGAAACTAAAGAACATAGATATTTTAAAAGCTAAAAATCAAGGAAATTGATATTATTTAATAAATAGTATTTTTAAAAATAAGTAAACTAACTTACATGCAGGTGAACGCTTAAAGCTTAAACTAAAGAACATAGATATTTTAAAAGCTAAAAATCAAGGAAATTGATATTATTTAATAAATAGTATTTTTAAAAATAAGTAAACTAACTTACATGCAGGTGAACGCTTAAAGCTATCGACAAATCAAAGAGGAATTTCGGTTCTTTTCCATTTTTTTCATCTTTTAAAGATTTATAAATTTCCAGAGCTCTCTCTTTTAATACACCATAATATACTTTTTTCGATTTCTGCAAAACGCTTTTATAATTTTTATAACAATTCATGATTCAATAAAATTATAAAATCATATAAACTTACTATTATTTAAAAATTTAACTTTCGAAAAACTTAACCAAAACTTTTTTTTAAAAAAAAAGAGGGAACAAACACAAACCAGCGGATAAAAACCAGCGACAATATAACCCGTTCTAATAATATTCTTTCTTAATTCTTCTTTATTACTCATGTAAAAAGAAATACATATGTCTGAAATTTGAAATTTTAAATAAGAATCTCATTTGAAATAAGAATCACTAGGAATAAAATTATTTTATTTGCAAAATTATTTGACAATAACTATTATCAAAATTAATATCTATTAAATAAAATTGTGGCAAAAATAAGCAAATTACGATAAATTTATTGCAGTAATATATAATAATATATAAAAATATATAATATATAATATATAACAGAAATAATATATAAAAAAATTCAAAGGACTCACTTCCTTTATGTTTTTAAATTTAAATTAAAGTTTTTAAATTTTTTTAAAAAAAATTTTAAAAAAAAATGGATAAAAATATGAGTTAATGGATTTTATAAAAGAATGTAAAATAGAACGAATTATTTTTTTTTAAAAATTTGAAAT